TCACTATGGACTTAGTTACTCATGCTAAAGAAAAGAACTAAAACAATCATAAACAAAGCCATAATTAAAAGAAATAGCAAATTAGAGTGTGAGATGTGTTTCTGGTCTTCAAGTAAGATCGCTTGAAGCTCCAAGTCTCGCCAAACATGTGCCAAGGATCCCATGCAAGAGAAAGGAGATCAGATGTATTCTAGAGCCAAAGTCAAGATGTAAAAACGGTCCCTTTTACAATGCCTGAGCTCTTCCCTTTTATAAGATTTGAAAACCCTAAAAACTCTTCATAATTGGGTTTCCCGCAGATGAGCATGGTCGTGCAAGGCCTTAAGCACGACCGTGCATGAGCTCAAAGCACCCCGTGCTTATTGAATGGGTTTGGGCATGCTGACTGCTGCGAAACTCTAATCTTCCATTAATTTGGGCCCAGAATACATCCAAAATCCACTTGCAACCTCTTTATATGAAACTGGATAATTAATATATAAATTAGTGTAAAATCCAAATAAAATAAAGGTCAAATATGAATATATGGACTGTAAAAGAGAGCCTAATTACAAACTTATCAATATCTCGCTGTGGTGAGAAAGAGTGTCTAGAAATCAAGCATTCTGATGCTCTCTCGCTATAGCTAGAATTCTCTTACTGTAGCGAGGAGCTCTCGCTGTACCTAGAATGACAGACAACAAAGTGTAATTTTGTCTGGTTTTTTTGCTACAACGAGAGAATGGCTCGCTATAGTGAGAATTTATCATTGTAGCGAGAAATGGCTCGTTGTAGCGAGAATGTCGCAAGTCTAGGGGTATTTAAGAGTTTTCAAGTTAGAAAACTTGGATTACAATTCAAGTTTCGAACTCTCCCTTGTTCTCTCAACTCCTAACTCTTTCTTCTCAAAAAATCTCTCCAAAACCTCAACTTTTTTTCAAATCCAAGCTTGGGAACTTCATTAATCAACTCCAAGTAAGTTCTTGGAGCTTTGTTTTCTCTTTTTGGGTGTTTTCTAAGTTTATCCTTTCTCAAAATATTTTCTTTTGTGATATCTAAGAAGATCTTGATCCTTTCACCTAAAACCCTTCACAATATCTCTTTCAAAACTTCGTCTCAAGGTAAGGAGGGCTTTATTTTGTTATTTTAAGCATAATAATTATTTTGTAACCATGTACTTTATGTATGCGTTTTAGTATGATTCTTATGATTGATTGATGACACGTGGTCGCACACGAGTCAAAATAAACCTAATTACTATAGTACGAGGTAAGCAACTAGGGTCATTTCTCAAAGAATCACAAGGACAAATTAATCTATTTAGAGAGTATATAAGACGGGGGGGTTTGTTTATAAAGGAAACAAAAACACACTTAATTATAATTAGAATGAAGAGTGAACAAAAATTGAAATTCTAATCCAAGAATTAAGAATAAAAATGACTACTCTATCACCGAATTTTTAAGAGAGTACATCAACAAACAATTTGGTAATTAACAATGAATTTGAATGAAACCTCAATTCGAACTCAGCATTCACATGAAAATCTTCATGCATTCGATTAGCACATAATTAATTAAAATTCAGAAAACTGTAGAACCTAATTGAATTATTCCAATTTAATTTACCAATGTCGTTAATCGTAGTTTTCAAACCTGAAAATCTAATTCATGTTCCTTAAAACTCAATTACATACATCAATCGAATAATACGTAATCAACCAAATGCATAATCATTAATCCAAACGAATAACTTCAATTCGAAAATATAATTAACAAAAGGGAAAAAATAAGGAATAGATGAAACCGAAATTGTTATTGAATTTATGCCAATGTGAGATCAATCCTCAAGAGTGTCACGTCCCTTTTTAATCCTTGAATTAGATAGAAATCTAAGCCTCCATGGATGGAGAGAAAGAATTCGTAAAGGGGAGAGAAAGCGAGAGAGAGAGAGAGAGAAGAGAAGAGAGAAGAAGACGAGAGCCAAAAAATTAAAATCAAAATTCAAAAATTTAAAATTCAGTTCGTCACTTTGTTCCATTTTTTTCGGCTAAGAAAACGGCCTCTTTTTGATTCGTTGCCTGAAGGATAATTATAGCCTTGGATGTTAGCTTCAAAATGCCACTAGAATGGACTTAATCGGATGTTTGTGGACTGAGATATGGCCCAAATACTGCACCTTACTCATGATACGCGATTGCAGCGTTTTGACTTTTTCCAGGCCCAGTTTCAGCTTCTTATCATCAGAATTGGTTTTTGACCTCTTCATAGGAATTGTGCACCTTTTTCTTACAAATCAAGAATCACAATGAAAGGAGTTCTACAACTCAAGATATGGTCCAGAAACTAAAACAGTATCAGAATTTGCCAAATACTGAAAAAATTAAATAAAGCCCAAATAAAATTCAAACATCATAAAATGATCCAATTCAACCAATTAGGTACAAAAGAGGATTAATGAGCTAGGAATGAAAAATATGTTGGGTTAATTTTGGGTGTTAATAATATGTTCGAGTAGTCCGTTTGTTTGGAATTTAGTTCGGAAGTGTTTTACTAAGCACGATTTCTTACTTGAATAATGAGTTTAGTATGAAAAGGGAGCATGAGATAAGTGTAAGAAGCTGAATGGTTCTAGTGTGAATAGTTACAGAGATATACCGAGGGTATAGAGTCCAGAGACGATAGAAAATCTGGGAGAAATGTAGGGTGGTGAGCGACATTCGCGCATGTGTACACATTCTTTCTAAGAGCGAATGCGCCACATGGCCTCACACTTGTTTCCTGACTAGACTTTTGACTATATCTTTGCTAAGGAGCCGTTATTGTGTACGTTGTATCCGTATGCATGAGCTAACCGATGACTATTTACCTAATTGTGTAGGACCTCAAGAACTGCTGGAGGCATCGTATAATTGTGACACAGTGCACTGAATGTGCGTATCCGAAAGAGAGCAACATAATAATTATGAATATGTGTATGTCTAATATATTACTTTGAAATTTATGTTATTATGATTCCTTGTATTCCATGACCATGATTGTGCTGTTATGTTAGTCTTTAAAGTAATATCATGTTTTGAATTATAAGATAGGTGCTCATCCTTACTGATAATTTTAGGGAACTAAGATGACGAATCCGCAGGGAAGAGTTAGACTGGTAGATAGTTCTGTAAACTTTAGATTAAATTACGTATTTAATGAATACCAACGTGTAAATCATTTTAAATTTGTTGTATTGGTAGAGAATGACCCTAGGGTTTGTGTCATGATAGAGATAGATTTTACTTGTAGTATTCCATTCGACTTTTCTAGGAGTAGGATACACCAAACCTTATATGTGTGTGTGTGTGTGTATATATATATATAGGGGTACAGTTAGAACCCCAGCAGCCCTTACTTACTTATACACCTACCATGACCACGACTCTCTAAGAAGACCTACCCGTTGGATCTTTGAGCGCGTCATGGGAACAAAGGTCAAAGCTGACTTTGGCAAATCTGGGATCTGATGACGACTTAGACTCTGAGGACCTAGCCGAGATAGAGAGTTGGAATGCGAAAAATAAGTATAACTGAGGCTACTTTGGGATCCTTTTTGTAGTGTTTGGTGTTGTAATTATTATTTTGATCTTTAAATACTCAAACATACAGTTTGTAAATTAATATACTGTATTGTGAAGTTTATGTATAGCCTTTTTCTTTACTTTTGATTATGGTAATCTCAGAAGTTTTATGCCATTGCACTATTTTATTGATTTAAATGGAAATATTTGATTAAATTGTAGTAATTACTTCCGGAAAAATTTTATGGTATCCGAATTTCATATTGAAATTGAATCGAAATGAAAAGCTATTTATATGTACTGAATTTGAAATAAGGACGTTACAGATCTCTTAGATAAAAGCTATTTTCTATGCTGTAACTTTTGTTAATTGATTTAAAAGCTGAGATTTAGTTGAAATATTATAAATTGTTTTTTAGCTGAACTGTTGAGAATATGATTTTGTCTATGTTGCATCATGTTGAGATATATACCTTACATCATTATAGAGCTGAGTTACACATTTAGGTAGGTAGACGTATAACAATAGAGCATGTTGAGTTATGCTATGCTATTTGGATCCAGATACCAGAATGAGTTGCTTCCGGATCGGCTCGGTTCCTTCTGAAATAATTAGGCTGTGAAACTAGTTAGAAACTATTTTCATACTGTGCATTAGATGGGCTAAGAATGCATGAGGTTGTTACTGTGAGTAATATTTTACTCTATATATATGATTTTCTTTTGTAAGCTCACCCTTACATTTCTATATTTACTATTATGTACATGTGTACTGCGATGATCATATAGTGGTATGTAAGCAGATGTAGTAAATGTTGTATCTACTTCACAAGCTGAGGGTCAGTCGAGAAGTGTTAGAAGGCTGGAGTCGAATAATTTTACATTAAAGTCTTTTTCCTTATATTATGTTTTTCTTTTGTAAGTTCACCCTTACATTTTTATCTCTATTGTTATATGCGTGTGTACTGTGATGATCATACAGTAGTATATGAATAGATGTTGTATCTACTTCACATGCTGAGGGGTCAATAGAAAAGTGTTAGAGAGAGTTATGTAGTATAATTTTGTGTATTTTGAGTATTATGAACTAAATGTAATATTATGTTGTTCTATTAGATATTTATTGTAAGAAACTTTGTTTTATTTTGAATAAGAAGTGAATTTTATACTTATATTCTTTATTATTTATTTATCTTAAATAAGTAGTATAAAAATAATGTTCTCAGTTCCTTATAAAAAGGAATCGTGACATTATTTGCATTAAAAGTTCAAAAATTTTCAAAAAACACAATAGTTGGTGTTGTTTGTGTCAAACCAAACAAAGCACATCTTTGTTAACCAAGAGTCCCAATATTGACTTCCATCAAATCTAGTTGAAAATGTATTTATGTAGTTGCGACTTTTATTAGTTTGTGATAGTCGAATACAAAGGCAACAAAGTTATGAAGCTACTTTCCCTTCATATTTGGGCTTGGAACCTTGCACTACCATGTTCTGATTGATCATTTGCAACGGTACTGTTATGGATAGTCCCAGAAGGACCAATAGACAACTTTTGGACATCATATTCTTCATCCTCCCAAACCAGACCCTCTTTTGGTGACACAGCAAAATACACTATGCAAGCCAAGAAAGGCCCAAGCCAAAAAATCCAATGCCCATTCCAAAGTGAACCTCCACGAAACAATGCTGGGCCTAAGCATCTTGCTGGGTTCAGGCCCACTCCTGCATAACCAGCCTGCCCAGTTACAGTAATGGACACAAATACTGCCAATGCCATGGCTCCTGCTACCACGAAGCACACCATTGGCAAGCCCAATTCCTTGGACCTTTTCTTGTCAAATGCCAATGTGACACCTACAAATAGTACCACAAATGTGCAAGTGAATTCCAATAACAAAGCATTTTGTGGCTTTACACCAGAATTTTCTCCTTTGCCACCAATGGCACAGCCTCCCAATGAATATGTATCAGCTAATTTTGGATCCATTACATAGTTAAGTACTAAAAAACCAAGTATTGAGCCAATGCATTGTGCTAATATGTAAATGAGCGCACGATCAAGAGTGATAACACCCTTTAAAGCAGCAATGAATGTGAAAACAGGACTCATATGGCCCCCTGATAGAGGAACTGTCACAACTAGGAATAAGAAAGCTATGGTGAAGACTGCAAAGGGAACAAGAAGCTTAGGATCAACCTCATGTGAGTCCAAGCATGCAATAATGGATGTTGTCAAGGTGAACACAAGAGATGCAGTTGCTGTTAACTCTGTTAGAGCTGCTTTCCACATCTGAAAGAAGGAAAATTAACACAAAAGTGTTATTCTTTCTTACTCTTTGTTAGTGATAAGAAATTAAACAACTTTTAGTTGCATCAGTCACCTATTATAGAAGTTATAAAGACTTGTGTCTAATTACCTCTTCAGTGAAAATTTCAAGGGCACCGATTGAGGCTAAAAACTTATTAACCAAACGATTTACCTCATGACTTTGACAAGGCCTCGGAAATTGATCATCACTGTGAACTACTTGGCAATTTACAGAATCCATGTGATTGAATTCCAAGAAATAAATGGGTGGTTTGATTCGTTTAAGCAGGTAAGGCACATTGCTAGAGCATTTACATTAGACTATAATTATATATGAGAAACTCTCAAGTTGTTACTGTCTGTTATTTTAATTATATTTTAAGTGGTATACATTTTGCATAATAATGTTCATTTTTTATGTAAAACTGCACACTAAGAATAATAAATTTTAATGGTTACTAAAACAACTACATTACTTTATATCGGTATAACACTTGCTTAGAAATAATCGGCCTACGTTTCTGTCATGGTTATCCTTATGTTAGTAGGTTATACGCAGTGCAGAAAAGTGATATAAAAAATGCAGTTAATAGATTTTGGTAAAAAATCTAATTTTATATTTAAATAATTATTAACTGTCTTTTCGTACTAGCTAAATGTTTGAGACTTACGACACAAATGATGGTAATATACTTCACCTGCAGGAATATTCACTTTGCAAAAATGTAGGAATATGGTTTTAGTTATTGGATATTATCCCTGAGAACGAAGGCAATTGTTCGGACTAATGCTTTCTGAAATAAAATGATTAAAGAAAACTCAAGGGATAATCATTTATTCAACTTACAAGAATACTCACTCTCAAATACGTTTATCATAACTAATAAAAATTGGTTATTTATATTTCTTAACAGATAAATTTATTATTATAAATGAATAAAATAATATCATATTTTGTCTGATATTATATAATTGTGTAAATTGATTTTTGCACTCTTGTACTAATAATTATTTTAATATAGAGTCACGAACTATGCATTACACATTTAAAGTATATTCTCTTGTGCGGAGCACTAAATGAAGGGACATGGTAGAATTCTCTAAAAACAATGTAAAAAAAAGTCATTTTGTTTCTTTATTATTAAACATCTCTTGAGATAGATACCATTTAAAACTTCTAGTGGTCCCAATACAATATTGAAGGACTTTGGTTGGCATGAATAAAAGGTTGAAGGACTTGACATTTTTAGATTTGCGCTTAAATAATTATAAGTTGATATATATTTTAATTTTATTAATAATAACGTTTATTATGAATATAGGTTTATAGACTTTTTAAACATATTTCCAAATATATATTGGAGTGAATCTAAAAAGTACATAATGACTGAAATTTGTATCTAGTTACCTCTAGTCTGAAAATCTCACGCACCCCAATAGAAGCAAGAAACTTCTGCCGTAAAGAGTTTTTGCCCCTCAAACATGTTGCCTTGGTAGTTCGTTTCACAAATACATGCGAGTTAGCTGAATCCATGTGTCCTCGATTTTAAAAAAGGGATGGCTAGATTCTATTTCTTTACTTTTTTCGAAGCATATAAGGTTACTTATTTTGGTTTTGTGATTGAAGCATATTTGCCACCCTTAAGAGTGTAGGTAATTGAATGCTTGTAACAAAATGCCATTTACAGTGCTTGGGCTAGCATTTGAATATGGTTTTAGTATGAGCTATAAATGACAAAACAAATTATGGTGTTAGCCCTTCTTTTATGTCAGGTATATATATAGCACAACTACTGCATGATGAAGTGATGGGATAGTGAAGCTGCGTGAATGTCCAGGGCATGGATAAGTTTGTGCTAACTTAAGATTCACCATCTATGTACCAACAATATATGATTTCTAGTTCTCTCCAACTTTTTGGCAGTCAACAAAGCCAAATCTTGTACTTACGCAATCCAAACATTCCAAATAATGAAGTATTCAAAAGTAAATAGCAAGTGAATGTCTAGTACATCAATGTAGAAGACAATAATAGGCATATATACAATTACAATGTCTGGGTATATACTGAACAAATAGGTCATGAGGATCAATTGGCAGAATCCTCAGCACCTGCAATTACAAAGATTGCAATATGAACAATTTTAGCTTTTTGCGTGGAACAGATTTGTTCTTTACACGGCATGTCGAACAAAATGTTAGCCCCTAATAAATAAACATTATTTTATTTATCAAACAACATTATACTACAGTAGAATACGAGACCGTATACTCTCCTGCCTCTGCAGCAGAAATCTTAACCGCACATAATATTATCTTTCTTCTTTCAATTTTGTGCAAAATCATATCAATGGTTGGGATTTTTGCAGATATTGGCTGCACCAAAATCTTGCCGGAGAGGATCCAAAGAGAAAATTGATAAACTTCCTCTTAAACAACACCCAACACCTAATAGCTAAGTCAAATTGGGGTCTTGAACGATCTTTCTAGCAGGAAAGGGAATTCTCTTAAAGTCATTGAACAAAGAATTACGAATAATTTTATCAGCTTTGGTGATTCCAGTGAGACCAACAGAATCAGGGTCTTGCAAAATGGGATTATGCAAAGGGTTCAAACCCTCTAAATTGGACCTAAACATTTTATCCTTCCTCAAAAAATCACTTCTTTTATCAAACCAATCACCCCAACCTTCTCTCAAAGGCGAAACCCTCCGATTCGTCTTCAACAAAAGCGCATCCTCAACGCCGTTTACCTGAATCGCCTTTCTTCTCACATTCTCCTCCACCGCCACGTCATCGGATCCAAACGCGGTCTTACCGCGATCCTCCGACTCCGTGAAGATTTCGTCGTCGTCCATGAAGCTCTTGCTGAAGGCTCGAATCACGCCCTGGACGGGGTGGAAGACGTAGCCGGAGGCGTTGTTCTGATCCAAAGACTCGTCGTCGTCGTCGGCTTCGGTGGAGTCCTGCGTTTGTTCTTCAACGATGTCGAGAGCGTCGATGGTGTCCTCGTCGGCGTCGTCGTTGGGGGAATCGGAGAGGCGGGAGTCGTAGTTGACCTCGTGAGAAGGTAAACGAAGGTGAGAGTGAGAGATGAGGAGCCACACCGATACCAACACAAGCAGCCCCGAAACGACGGCGCGTAGGAACACGCCGTAGCGATGGCGTCGCCGGGATCGTAGATTTCTCAGCATTCTTCTTTGCGAAAAGGAAAAAATAAATAAATTAATGTGTGCTTTGGAAACGAATGCTTGTTACAAGTGGGCCTAGTTTGGCCCAAAATAATTGTTTGGGCCATCAAAGTTCTATTAATTGCTGGCTATTATCAAAGTGTCAGCATTCTTAGCTAAGCTACTATGTTTGACAAAAAAATAATAGCTACTATGTATTATTAGTATGGTATGTTTAGAAGAATTTATAAATAATAGCTTATAAAAATAGTTATAAATATTATCTTTAAATTTAAATAAAAGTCATCATTTTTCAAAAAAATTATTAAATAAGTGCTTAATTAAGCACTTATTGAATTGAATCCTCTATCAATTATGCATATCCACCATTATCTTTGCTTCTATAAGCACCATTGCTTAATTAAAAAAAGCAAGCTTCCAATAGACCAACTTATTTTATAGCATTAATAGACCGATCAATAGATCTTTAAACCCAAAATAGTCTAACCTACATTAGGCTGTGTTTTCCAATTGTATGATGCTGTATTAATTTTATTTGTTTCGAATGGTACAAGATACTGTGTTCTCTCTCTACTAGTTAACGAATCAGTAATGATCAATACTAATGATAGTTGAAATGTCTTAAGAAGGTTTGGTTGGGAAAGAAAATCAGTTTACTACTTGCTACCCCCTCTAATTTATGGTTTTTCATTACTTCAAAATTTTCAGTATTCATAAGGAACGCCAACAAAAACAAATTTCTGGCAACTTTTGTCTAGATTATACGATGTCATTCTTCCAGCCATTATATGTGGAGGCTAATCAACACTCTCTCTCTTCAAAGATGCCAACTTACAGAGTTTTTTGTTTGATTAAATGCTGGTTAAGTGTACCAATTATCAGTAACACAGAAAAGAAACTGCTCTTTTGTTTGTGAGGACGGATCCATCCTCAAAGTTTATATAAAAATACTGGTAGAAGAAAAAAATAAGAACATAAAACAAATATAATTACTTTTATGAATTAAAATAAATTTCTACTCTTCTATTTTTCAAAAGATTTCTCGATTAATTTTTCCAAAACATAAGGTGAGGAAAGTGAAGTTCTGGTTTCAAATTTGACTAGAAATCAAACCCCAACCTCTTCCCAACGACTAATAATGTAATACGATCTCCATGACCCACTTGCTTTCCAACTAACCCACATTTATGAAAGTAGTTGCGTACATCATGTCTCACCGATTATAAACTTGCCACGCCACAACTCACCAAGCAAATTAAAGTCATAGACATGCTTGGGAGATTATATATACCACTAGTCCTGCTTTCTCTATTCACAACATTCACTGTAGTGGAAATTGTGTGCATCTGATCTTACCAAAAAAGAAATATGGGAGACGAAGGTATTTTGAAGGGTGTCACAAAGCAGGTCAACCCAGGGAAGGCCTCCATATTAGCTCTTGGCAAGGCTTTCCCTCACCAACTTGTCATGCAAGATTATTTAGTTGATGGATATTTCAAGGACACAAACTGTGACAATCCTGAGCTCAAGCAGAAGCTCACTAGACTTTGTAAGTATATAAACCTTTTCTATGTAACAATTGTGATTCATTGTGGAAATGTTTGTGCACTCTTTATTTATACCACCTTTTACATAGTATACACAATTTAAAACTTCATAGTTTGCAAAACATAACAACGGTTTTGCCGGCAGGTTACTTGTCCTTTACCCGACATGTTATTTATACTGTGTGTTTGGATTCACATTTACAAGTTTGTTTTATCGTGAATTCAAGCATGCACTTAGTTGTATTCATATTTACTGGTTTTTAAACACACTTAGTAACGTGTAATCCACTATGATTTTGGCTTAATATGGTTATACATACAGGCAAGACAACCACAGTGAAAACGAGGTACGTGGTTATGTCAGAGGAAATACTGAAGAAGTACCCAGAACTTGCGGTTGAAGGCATTCCCACTATAAAGCAACGGCTAGAGATATGTAACAAGGCAGTGACACAAATGGCAATTGAAGCATCCCAAGCTTGCATCAAGAACTGGGGTGGATCCTTATCAGACATAACCCACTTGGTTTATGTTTCATCCAGTGAAGCAAGACTACCTGGTGGTGACCTTTACCTAGCCACAGGACTAGGATTGAGCCCTGATATTCAACGCATCATGCTCTATTTTGCTGGTTGCTCGGGAGGTGTGGCTGGTTTACGTGTTGCAAAAGACGTAGCTGAGAACAACCCAGGAAGTAGAGTGTTGCTTGCTACTTCTGAAACTACAATTATTGGGTTCAAGCCACCAAGTGCAGATAGACCCTATGATCTTGTTGGGGTGGCACTCTTTGGAGATGGTGCTGGTGCCATGATAATTGGCTCAGACCCAATATTGGAGACTGAGAAGCCTCTCTTTGAGCTTCACACAGCAGTTCAGGAATTTTTGCCACACACTGAGAAGAAAATTGATGGGAGGCTGACAGAGGAGGGAATAAGCTTCAAGTTAGCAAGGGAACTTCCTCAAATAATTGAAGACAATGTTGAAGGATTTTGTGACAAATTAATGAGTGTTGTTGGGTTCCAGAACAAGGGGTATAACGAGCTGTTTTGGGCTGTACATCCAGGGGGGCCTGCAATCTTGAATCGCATTGAGAAGAGGCTTGATTTGTTGCCAGAGAAGCTGAGTGCAAGTAGAAGAGCTCTAATGGATTATGGCAATGCTAGCAGTAATACCATTGTGTATGTGCTGGAATATATGATAGAAGAGGGTCTCAAGATTAAAAAGGGTGGAAGTGGAGATTCTGAATGGGGCTTGATACTTGCTTTTGGACCCGGGATTACATTTGAGGGAATTCTGGCTAGGAACTTGTGTGCATGAACTCACACACAAATGGGGCGTAAAGCTTAACGATATTATTATCATAGGATGTGTTGATGTGATGCATCCCCCTACCAAAAGTGAAGTCTGGACTACAATGATCAAAGGAAACACTTTTAATAAAAACTTTTAATTAGAAAATCTTTTCAAAGCAATTTTATGATGACTCCTTCCATGCTCATACGATGAATCAATTTTATCAGAACCTTTCCTTTATAAGAATTCCAGAAGATTGAAATACCTTTATCAACAGGATGTCGAACATGTAACACATTCAACTAAATGAAAATAATGGGATGCTATAAAACGAAAATGGAAAAAAAAAAAAAAAAAAAAAAAAAAAAAAAAAGCTAAAGATAATCCATTAAGTATCATTGGGGAACCTCGAGTAGAAGCAGGAGACAACAACTGAATTGAACTGAATCAAATGAAGAACTTTTCACACCGAGGCAGAATTAAAAGAATAGATTAGGGAGTTATTTCTGAAAAGGCCTGGTTTGCTTTCCATTAAAAAAAAAAAATAACTAAAAGATGTTTTTGGACTTTTGGACACAATTTCTACTTCTTATCTTTTATCAGCCTGTTTTGAGCAAACATTATTTAAAAAAAAATTCCTTTTTAAACCATTTTAACCACTGTTAACATGTCTGCGTCTGGCTTTGTGACAACTGCTTATTACATTGCATTATAGAATTGAGACCTTGACTTGTGCAGTATCAGTTCAACCTAAAAGCAATTACAAACAACCATGCTCTGCTCTTTCTTTTACTTTTACTTTCTTTTCTTTTCTGTCATCATTATAATCTAGGTAGGCCTCACCCGGAAAAGAGAATTCGAAAACTAAATGCATTATCAGTTCAATCTAAAAGCAATTACAAACAACCATGCTCTGCTCTTCGTTTTACTTTCTTTTCTGTCATCGTTAAAATCTAGGAAGGCCTCACCCGGAAAAGAGAATTCGAAAAATATATACAACCACTTTCTTAAATCAAAATGTTTAAGGTATTGCGGGTAGCACATTCACATTGTGACCTCAATCTAAAGCTTTGTTTGAAAATTAATTTTTTAGAAAAAAAGAAAACTTATGCAATGATAATTCTTATTTGAATTTTAATAAGATGATGAGATTTTATAAATTCTCCAAAACTCTTTTCTAAATCTATCTTTTTGAGTTCATCTAATTTGGAGATTTATTTATTAATCCTCCTTCTTTCCATAGTTGTTAATCTCTTATTGACTAACTCCTGAAACTCTAGTAGAATAGCGTAGAGAAATCATGTCACTATTTAAAAATTTATAATATATATATATATATATATATATAATATGTTATGTATACAAAATTTTAATATAAATATTCAAAATATTCTCAAAATGAATCACATAATCATCATTCAAAGTAGAAGTATAAAAAACTGTAGCATATGTTATATTAAAGAAAAAATGCTTTCTTATGATAAAGTTGAGGCAAGATTGATCAGCGAATAAAAAAATAGAAAAGACGCCAAAAAATCTGATTTTTCCAATAAACAGAAAAATAGAGAAGACGCCAAAACAAACTAATTTATCTGGTGAACAAGAAAACCAAGGATATGCCACAAAGGAGGCGCCGAAAAAGCTTATTCCTCTAGCAAAATGGAACAAGTGAGCCTCCAAACAAGCTGAGCAAAATGGAATGCTGTGAGCCGGTGAGAAGGGGAGAAACCGCTAGTGAGAGGCTTAGACTTTTCGCAGAATGAGGAGAGAGTGGAGAAGATGAAATCACCATATATGTTTTATAAAGGGTATATGACCTTTCTACCCTTAAAAATAATCCAAATGGTGCGTTTTATAAAAAATAAAATAGTTTCTTTCTTTTTCCCAAATCGCGTGATCGTAATGCAAACGTCTCCCTGTTCTGGCTGCAAACACCCACACCTGCCATGACGTGCCAAGCGCCCTTTGACATGGCAGCTGACAGCACCACTATTAACAAGTATACTTCTTCCTCCTTTATCCAAGGAATAATTATAACACAAACTTAATTCCAAGGGTTTAAGCAAATAGAGAGCATGTATAAAGCATTTCCAATTATCAATAACCGCACTTTAAACATAATTATATTTAGTTTTCCTTCATTCCCAACTTTACACTCCACCAAGGAACCAAACAAGTGTGTCAATATAAAATGTACTCTAACAAGGGTAACCGACCATAATGCCTGATTAAGTTAAAATTTAAATGTGAGTACACACCAAGCAGATCTTCAATCACACCACTCCAGAAGGAAGGCGAAGAACAAGCTGTCCCCCAAAAACACTGCAATTAAATAAATAAAAAAATGTCATGAGGACAACTGGACTAGAGTTGTGCTGGAAAGATCTTCGATACACTAAGCAAAAGCTGTAAAATGAATGCCCTGGAAAAGAATTATTTTATTAACTAGAGTTACTAAACCAACCTTTTGACATAATAGTAACAGAAATCTGCTAAGATGAAGGTCTGGACAATTTCTGAGATAAGAACCATTGACGGCCATAAACCGTACCCCAAGGCAACCAACAAATGTCCACGGCTATCTAATACCTGTTTAAAGAATAGTAAGTTAGTAGAAGACCAACACTTAGAAGTTTCAGAAACCTGCACCACTAAAGAAAGAAACTAACAGCAGGAACAATCTTGCAACCGGTTTACTGTAAAATTGGTCGTAACTTAAATTTAGAAACTCAGAACACACCAACATTAGAAAGGAAAATCAGATAAAGGCAAAACACATGCCCGTGTAAAATTCAGCTAGAGGAAAGCCGTAGTGATTTAAAATGAAAGCGAAACTCAAATTTATAAAATAAGGTTCACATTTCACCCCTTGATCAATGAGATAGGCATTTCAAAAACAAAAAATGTGGTCGTACGGATACTGATGACCAGCATGTGCCAGAAAACAAGCAACTTCTAAATTTGAAATTGGATCAAAGAATTGACTAATGCTATTATAAATTTTCATTAACAGACCTGAAGAACCCAATGAGCACAGCTCAAGAATCTTGCAACTCCCAGAGCAAATACGTAATGAGCTGTGAATGGCTCAACAATCTGAAAGCATAAAATGAAACAAGTTGAGGAGGAAAAGACATGAAATGTTGGATGAAGATTCTAAAGTTCAGAAATTATACTTTCGTGTTCTGCATGACACGCAATTGGGGTAGGACTGAAACAGCTTCAAGATATACACAGAAGGCCCAGAAAATCCTGTTCAATAAATGATGAGAAGTTGATGGATGAATAAGCAAGGCTAACACAGCACAGGGTATCACCTGCATTCAATTTCAAAAGTAAAGTACATCAAGCTGGCTGATGAAAGGTAAATGCACAAGTTACAAGCAATAAGTGACAAAATCACAGATTTATGAAGAGGAAAAAGTTAAATTCTTCCAAGTAAACAGAAAAGTATGGGAAAGGAATAAGGAGGAACAAAAGGAGAGCTACAAACAAGCACGATGCAGCAGTTTAAATTTGAGGCCATGACACTAGGTTCTATCACAATAAGAGCATCACAGTAAATCACATGTACAGACAGAACAACCACCTTAAACCCCACTCCAATGTGGGGGAAACGTATGAGTTTGAAGCCTTTCTACTCAAAATTGTGACAAGTGCATAAGAAATTCTTGATAGAAAGTCTGCTTCACATGATATCTTGTTATCATGTTACAGGTAACATTTCCCCCATATTACTCTACATTTTTTAATGTTTTCACGCAGAAGGACATTAGCCTCGATATCGTAAAGATAATATGACTTTCAATATAACAAAAAAAATTAGAAAAGCAACTTAGGTGAAAGTATAATATTTCAGTATCAGCAACGATTACTTTTACTACCATCTCACAACCAAAGATCTATTCAAATTGTAAGACACTTTATAGGACATGACTACCATGACCGTCTAAAGACACTATGAAACAATCAAACTCATAAGGTCAAATTTCCAACAAGAACTAATAAAATGTTGCACTCCTTTGAAACGAAAACATATATCTTCTAATTTTAAGATGCAACAATACGTGGAGCTCTGGAACTTACCACATAGTATATTGCAAAGTTATCCTTCTCCTCCATGTAACTAGCCTTCAGTTTAAAACGAATCATGTATATAACCCACAGAGTTGTTGCGAAAGTAGCAAAGTCAAGTATGGTGTGTATATCATATTCCATGACAAAACTGCAGTACAGCCTAACAGCTAAAAAGATAGCTGTTAATTCCTGGGATTTGAGTGATAACCCTGCACATCATTCAAAACCATTACCAAAATGGAAACTCATATGTGTGTGTCTCTTTTTTGTCAAATAACAAATCACAAGACACTGATTAGGCCCCAAACACACAAATCAAATCAGCCCATCAAAATTAAAAGCAAATCAAATGATCTTTTATTTATTTATTCTTTTCTGAGCATTCCATTAGGCAGATTTAGAGCTGAAATAACTGAAAAGGAGAAACCTTTAACTTTAACCTACCCAATTGAAAAAAAGTAGGAAAATTAGGAAAAATTGATGAGTTTACCGGCACAAGTCTTCTCCTTCATGAGCTTGTAGATGAGGACGGAAATTCCGAGGGAGTGGACAGCCTCGGCGGCGACGAAGAGGTTGTCGTGGTCGTGAACGATGAAGCGAAGTAGGACGAGAGCCGCCATGCCGGAAACGACGGAGAGAAAAGCTTTGACCTTTGGGGGTTGTCGCCTCACCCATGTGGTGATGGCGTGGATCGAAGTTCTCTGAGGTCTCATCTTAATTGGGACTCTCCAAAGTTTTCTTCTTATCGACACCCCAATGCTCAAACACACGCAGATTAGAAGACTGAACCCCCAGGCAATGCTGGACTCCAACCTGAGAAAGTGTGTGGAAAACTAAAGAAAGACAAGATAGAAGATCACAAAAACAAATTTGCAATTTATATTTTAATTTAGGTTTTCTGTTTTTTTTTTTAATCTCTTCAAGAGTGCAGATAGATGGAAATATTTATAATATAAAAATATAAAATATATTCAATGGTGAATTTTCCTATATGTAGGCTTTGTTTGAGATTTTTTTTAGTTGTAATATTTAATTTAAGATTATCTTAGATTTTATTGTTTTTAGTTATTTAGATTTATCTTAAATTTGTTATTTTTAGTTGTTTAAGTTTATTTGAAATTTTGAATCATCTTAAAAAAATTATTTAAATTATTTAGAATTGGCTTAGATTTTAACGTTCTTAGATTTGTTATATATTTTTTTAGGATTTTTAGTCTATACATAGGTTCTCTTTATACGAATAATAATTTATTTCTGCTTTTAGGGAATTAAAAAATGTTAAAAGATAAAGATTTCATAATTGTCATGAAAATACTATTTCTTAGGATCTCTTTTATTTTCTCTAGGATTACTTTTATAAAATAAAATAATTCTTGGAATCAGTTTTGTGAAAAATAGATTTCTCCTTCGTTAGAGTTAATAAATAAATAAATAAATCTAATACTGTATTTAAAATACTAGATGTGGCCTCAAATGAAATTAACTTTAGATTATTTTTTTTAAAACACTTTATACGCCATTTTGGATAATCAGAAATATGATAAATCAGTACTACTCAAGAGGCCTCTAATTGATCTGTTATTGTGTGAGCTGTTGAATATTGAGACAGAAACTGAAGACAACTATACGGAGAGCAGTAAATCTCATAGATAACTCTTTTAATATTTTTTATATAATGTAAAATTATTAATTAGTTTAATCATCTTATATTATTATTTTTTATATAATTTAAACATTTATAAATATAATATACGAAATTTAATATTTAATTATATTTTAAAATATAATATCTGTTAAAACATAAATGAGATAAAATATCTATTAATTTTTCTTTTTTATAAAATTTATAAAATTATTTTATTTAATAAAATATTTAAACTAATGAACAGATTGATTGATTTTACATTCTATAAATAGTTACTTGACAAGTGTTTAAATGTAACACTTAATGTCACTAGATCTTCACTCTCTATATTATGCATAATTATTTTTTTTAAACTATATTAATCTTATGTTATTAAATTTCGTATTTAACATGATTTTACAATGAACTAGTTAAAAGTTACTTATTTCTTAATTAATCATTACATATATATTATTTACACATATGTTTATAAACATCACATGAAAAAATTACCTTATATAGAACATGTTCAAAACAGTTTATGATTGTTATAAACTATTTTAGCTTGTTTTAATAATCTTTTCACTTTATTTCAAAATTCTATGGTTAAATTTAAGATATAAATTATTGTTTTAAAAAAATGCATTAAATAAATATTTAAATTAACCATTAAAATTTTTTTAAGTAACTGAAGCTATTTAACAAAGTGAATGTTTATTAACTAATATTTTTATGACACTTGTCGCAAAAACATTTTATCATCGTCCGGTTCATTAACGGAGATAATTAAGCAACATAAATGTTAAGTAAAATATATGCATGGAATTGACATAATTAAGTCTTCAATTTTTCATATCAACAATTGGTCTCCATGACCCCGCAATTATTAATTATATACCTATGAGGCATGACTAGAGTTTTAGATTTTTAGATGATTAATTGTCTGCTTTTCATATTTAGGGAAATGATCATTAACACAAAACAGGTTCGGTAAAAGATAGTCTTTGCCACTTATAATAATGCATTGAAATATTGTCGTGCTCTATGATACACTTGATTCATGAGTAGATTCGTAGATAAAATGTCATAGGGTATAGCTACTCTTATATATATATTTAGGTCCCTGGGCCAGAGAATTTATTAGTATTTACATGTACGGAATCAAAACACAACCATAATCACTATGCAGTATAGTATATCCTACTGGACATAAATGGATTTATAATACAATTCATGTCTAGTGCTTAATAATCTCAATCTAAAATTTTCATCTAGTTAGGCCTATCATCCACCAAGAAATCCAAGCAATTCCCAAGAACAATTTTGCTATTCTCTAAGAAAGCAATTAGCAATGCTTGACATAATGCATCACAAGAAAAGAGTACTAAGAAACTTGATCTTCTGGATAAAGGCCTTAGGTGTTTATCTTCGTCTAGTGCCACCATACTCAAATGTGTTGGATCATCCAGCATCATCCTAGCCACCAAGTAACCAGCAATGGACCAAGTTTGGAATTTCCTGGCCTGTTTACCAATGTAGCGACCAAGCTTTCCATCATAATATTCGGGCCAGTTGTCCTTCAGCAGTCTAGTTTCAGCAATGTCAAGGGCACGTTTTGCAATTAGGGGTTGCCCAGTCTTGATAGAGGCCGCAGTTAGAAGCCATATAAGTACTGTAAACACCACAATAAAGTCAGAAACTATTTTATAAAGCCAGAAACTAAAGTGAAATTTCATTAATAATAATAGTAATAATAATAACATGCATGCAAGTGTAGACTCTAATTCAGTAGCTAAAGTTGAGTTTAAATATTTGAAAATAAAATAATTATTGAAAAATAACACATTGTTATGTTAAAGTTATAAAAGTGTAACAAATATTTATCTTATAAATAAAATCTTACTGTAATTAGTTATTTAAACTCAGTTCCTTAAATAAATAACATGCAAGCTGCAGTAGCATTCATTGTTCTAAGCTAAATATAATAGAATCATTATATTTGTGTCCACTAGTTGCTGGAAATTAAGAATTGTAACATAGCTGCATGCAAATGGGGGGGTCTAGGGGCAGAAGAATACCAGGCCAAGATCCTCCATTGTGGTAACTCCATCTAGTGTTTTTTGGGTCACAACCGGTTATGATCCTCCATTCATGGTTTTCAAGGGCTGGATAACAAACTTTTAGAGGCATCTCACCAATTAATGCTTCCCACCGTTTACTAATGAGATCCATGATTGCAAGTGATTGCTCAGGAGTAGCCAAGGAGGACAAAATTGCAATGCAATTACCAAGGCAAAACCAACGGAAATCCATCCTACCAGGACTAACATTCCCAATAAAGTAACCACCACTAAGAGGCATGAAATAAAAAATCCAATCAGGTAGAGAATCAGGAATGACATTGAACTTGTTAACTGCAGTATGTGAGTACTCTTCTGTTTTGAAGCGATATACATCGTTAAGTTGCTTTGAATCTAACCAAAAATAGCTTCTCAGATGGTAGCACAAGGCCTGCAAGCGTTTGGCAATTCGTTCCATCAACTCTTTCCCTTCAGTATCTTGCTTAAGCAATTGCAAGGCACATCTTAAAGCCATGAAGAAAAGTGCTTGAATCTCAATTGGATAACCGTTAACACCCTGATACATAGGTCAAAAAGATGAAAGTAAGCACAAAATTTGATCTGTTCTTGATTTTTAAAATGGATTAAACTCTTGACAACATTGATCTACAAAGCTGGATGAACCTAGAACTAGAACGATCATAATTTCCAACAGCTAATACCTGGTTATTAGTCCATAGGCAATGAAAAATATGATGGTCTAGTTAGTTCTACATATTTCAATTTTTCAACAAACTCACCATTCTACGATCAACCATGCAGCATCCATCTGCACATAGTAGAGTTGGAAACGTGTCAAATTCATCTGAAAGGCACAAATTCAGAATCAGGCTCATACCCTTCTGACATTCAGGCAGTTCAGACAAGGAATGGTCTCCTGTAGACTTTGTGTATGCACGAAGTAATATAGTCCATCAAAATCCAGAATCTACTGGAGCAACCCTGCCTATAGGTCGTCATTGTTTTTGACTGGATCATGGAATCGCTAGGTGAAACATGTCAATCTTTTTCTCCCCTGATTGAAGGCTAACGGTCTTTAGGATAAAATTTTTAACAATGTCAGGCTCCCCCTTCATCAGAAAAGCCAAAGCACTTGGGACAAAGTCTCTTACAAACACCTACAGACAAATAAAATACCATAGGTTAACTCTCATAGCAACTTTAAAGGAGTAAATATGAGAAAACATATAATGATCAAAGCCACTGAACTAGCTTGCATGACAATACAAGTAAAAAAGATCAAAAGGCCTGGATAGGGAGGGGAAAAAAGGGCATCTTTTTAGTTATATTCTAGCTTGTGTGTCAGAAGTAATACAAATCCATGAAAGCCGTGGCTTTGTTATAATAGTGCTACCAACTTCGAGTGTCTATGGTTTATGTCAGAGGTTACAGTTGGCCACTGTTAGAAACAACCTGAAGAAGGAAGAGAAAAATAAATGTAACCAACCCATTTTCCGATTTTCTCTATCATTACCTAGTATATTGCACAAAAGTTTCTTTAATTTTGCAAACCACACACACCATCCAAAAAACAAGAATCAGATGGAATTCATAGATGAAAACATCCTTGGCACCTGATCGTAGTTAACTTTCTCATCAGAACTATCCAAAGCAGCAATTGTACCAACTGGCTGATCGTAAAGATATACCAAGGAACGCCTCAGAGCTTCCCAACCTTTAGATACTATTGGTTGTGGGTCCAATACCAATGATCTTGGGGTATTCACACCTGATTCTGGCAGAAGAGAATTTGCATTATCAAGATGATCTACTGGGTGAGAAGAGTTCTCAGGATTTTTGGACAAGGGATGTGGAGAACACCCCGTGAATTCAATAAATGATATTTCTTTGCATGATTTGCATTTTTCTATGTTTCTGGGCTTCTCTAATACTTTCGAGAAATCAATTTCTTCCTCATCAGTTTCTGCCTCAGTATCTTGCACCTCTTCAGATGTAAAACTTCCATTTTCACACCGATCCATGGGAAAGGAAGATATCCCCCAAAATATTAACGGCAACAAAGAGTATTGTAATTTGTATCAAAATACTACAGTTGAGTCATCATAAATCAATGAGATAAAATTAACGTAAACTTAAATCGTGCTCATGAAATGCTAAGTTGTTTGCCCAAGTAAAATTTGCCTTATGATTTCAAACATGCATCATTTTATGGATCATCAAAAGCAGATAATCAGGAACTCGTGCATCCTTTTTATCCAAGTAATTGTTACGCATTCAGGTTCCTAATTACACCTATAAGTGAGTATAATGATTAATGAACACTCGCTGATGATAATAACTAATACATGATGAGTTTCGAAAATCTCACACCTTTAATTTCATGAGTTTTTAGTCATCACATTAGGAAGGAAAAAAAGATAACAACAAATGCAATGGCCCATCCTTGCATTCATGGAGAGATTCAATCTTATTTCTCATGCTTTGTTACAAAAGTCGCTTTGCAGCTAACTAGTTGGTTAAAAATCTTGAAATTCAGATTCTATAATCTTTTAATAATAAAAGAAAACGTAATACATGCATGAGATTAATATACAGTGTAACAAAAACCATTTCAGCGTGACCTGATCATCACCAGAGTAACTCGATTTTCACAACCCGAAGTATTTCATATACAAGAAAAGAAATTAAAACAGAAAATAATATTAAGAAAGCGTTCAAGATTTACACAGTTTAGAACGATGAAGTTAAGTAGGAAGGAACAAGAAAGAAAGAGAGTGGGAGCAGTTCATGCTAGCAAGAAAGTTTGTGAATGAAAAGAACATTCATTACTAAGAAAAACTAACCACAGAAGCTAAGAGAGAAAGAAAGATTATATGAGAGCAACAGCAAACTGCAAAAACAAGAGTAAGAATTAAGAGTAACATTGTTTTTCCTTCAATAATGCAATTATAAGTAAGAATTATTAAATTAAAACGAAAGAGTAAAGCATTTATCTTTTAAATTTGACATATGTTATGCACAAAAGTGAAGCATACGTTGTAAATTGATTTTGGCGGTTTAAAGGTGCATTTGAAAGTAAAACATTTTATAATTTTATTCTACTTATGATTTTTTGGAAGTACAAATATTATTTTCAACGTTTCTTATCTCAATTATAACGTAGTTATTTTTTTATTCTTTTGTTTTTATTCGTAAATGAAGCTATTTATTTTTATTTTTTCTTCTTATTTCAATCATAATGTAATAATTATTTTTATATTTTATCCATCTTGTGTTTGATAAGCGACTTCATCACATTTTCTGCTTGACACATCTTTGGTTAATGCACTACAACTTACACATCATGTATTAGATATATGTTATGCCACATATTTCAATTTAGTAATAAGATAAATATATATCGTCACTTTTTATATATGAAATGTATCACATGTGTTGTTCCTCTTAAATAACAAAGTGTGAAATTATTTGTTATATTTATGTGTAACACTTAAAACACCAAACATTACAACCATATTTTATATCTTTTTCAATAAAATTATAATAAAAAATGAAAAAAAATCCATTTATTCTTTCTATTTTTATTAAATATAATAAACAACTAAAAACAACTTATTTTTAGGTACTGTGTAATTTTTTTTCACAAAAATGATATAAAAAACTAAGAAAAACTCTCCCGTCTTATTTTAGAGAAATTTTTAAATAATCCGAAATTATATATATTTTAACATTTTTTTTAAAATATACGTAGTGTTATTGGTTAGAATCATGCAATAATTTTTTTTTATTTTAATATCACATGTTGAAAATAATGTCAAAATGTCTTAGTAATATTTTTTTTAATAAACTAATTTAAAATTAATATTAATTCCCTAAGAAAAACAATTGGCAAACAAACGTAGCTTGTCGATAGAAAAGAGCTTAAACCCTTCAGAGTAGGGTTTATTACCGTATCGAAGACGCCTTCGGAATCAGAAGAAAAATCGACAATGGCCGATTCGGAGGCAAATGCAAATATGCAAAATCGAAATCGAAAGCGAAAGCGAAAGCAGGGATTCGACTGCCAACCTCAAAACCCGTCCAAACTGCACCGTTTGGATTCTGCTCTCAAACCTTCCAGTCCCTGGAACAACCTTCAACTCATACTCTGCATCCAAGACAAACACAATGATCTTCACAGGTTAGTTTCTGTTTTCTACTCATATTTTCATCTCGTATCATGCACGAGTTATCTAAGGATTCAATTCAATGCTTTAGACAATGTGTGTATGTTTGAGGGGTTATAAGCTGAAAACACAGTATAAAGGCATCTTTATAGTATAAAAAGGATTCAATTCAATGCTTTTGCTCTCCTTATTAGCTATCGAAATGGATACTGACACATTTTTTTTCCCATTTCTACTTTCCCATTTCTACTATGAGTGTGTGTTAGTGCAGTAAGGTCAATCAAGCATTCAATTTTGTTCAGTCAAGAGTGGATGATGGTGTTGGCTCTGATCAGGATTGTGAAACTGTAAAACTGCCAAGACTACTATGTTACCTTAATGATTGGATCCTCACTTTGTTGTTCCCTCCCAATGGGAAGGAAAATTGGGGTGATGGGAAGACGCCTCAGGTTGAGGGAATTGAGGCATACATGGATCTTCGGTGTTGGGAACTATTCAAGTTTTGCTTGCAGGAGTCTTTGAAGTTTCATATCTCTTTGAATATGTCCCGGAACCTTCTACAAACAGTTCAGTTTATTGCCAGAAATGCTCTGTCATTGCTTGAGGAATCTTCTATCTGTTCAGAACATTTTATATGTGAGGAAAGGTATAAACTGTATGATACTGCTCTTGATTGTTTTTCATTGCTATTCTCATCTCATGGTGGGTTGTCAAGTGAAAACTTGGACTCGTGGGTTGAAACAGCTAAGGTAGTGCTTGACCTTGTGCTGAGAATGTACAGCAAGAACCTTGATGAGAGCCGTGTGGGTGCTTTTGTTTTTCGCTTATTGTGGTTGATGCTTCAGTCATTCTCTAAGTTTTTGAGGGTACATCCAGCTAGGAAAGGATTTCATAATTTTGTTGATAAACTCCTTGAGCTGTTGTTGCATTTGTTGGGTGAGTTTCATCTTCGGCTTAATGGAAGTAATCCCATTTGGATGGGGAGATTAATAAAGGCAGTGGAAGAAGTTCTTTCTCATGGACTTTTTCATCCGGTGCATATTGATGAATTTTTAAGCTTACACGGTTTAGAAAAGTATGTTGCTTCATGTGATGATAAGTCAAAAGACTCAAAAGCAACTATTAAGAGTTATCCTAGACATTTATTTGATGCACTGAACAAAATTATAGCTAAAAGGAATGTCATGGCAATGGGTAGCTTAGGTTTGTTATTTCACTTGTATGTTAATTCAGCAAGAAAATTCAAGGAAACTTCGGTGCTGTGTGAAGGAAGCAAGACAATGGAGAAAATGAATGATTTAAGGCAGCCAGTGCCAGGAGAACATTGTAGCCTAAATAATATTTCTGCTGACACTCAAAAATCACTTTTTAATTTTTTTGTACTGATTATGGAACCTCTTTTGCTCGAAATTACTGCCTATACTCAAGCTGAAATAGATGCCAAACCCCTGTTGTTGGATCTTTGTGGCATACTCAAGTCTCTTGGTAACTTGCTTACTTGTTTTATGACAGATAAGGTTTACGTGAGAACAGAGGACAGATCTGGTAGATCTTGTCTTAATTTCTTGAAGAAAATATTTAATATACTGATTACATGTTCCACTGACGTACTCTGCTTGTCCAACTATGATATGACTAACAAGTGTGGTAATGAGATACTGGTTGCTTTGGGATATCTTTTGGAAATTGAATATGAGGTTATTGGTGAAGATTTGGTAAATTTATGGCTTCTTATATTGTCATGTTGTGCCATCAATTGCAATTTGGCGAGTGATTTTGATAAATGCTCATTATCTTCCACTATACCTACTCTGGGGTGCCAAATAATTAATCTCTACAGTCAACTTCGCCAGGTTTGTGTCAAAACCCTGATGTAGCTCACTTATATTGTACATTTTTATCCTCAGATCCCAGTAGAGCAACTTATGCTTTAAAGGTTGGTTGGTGGTTATAGTACTTTGTGTCTTAGTCACATGATGTAATTCTAGGTATGATTGTTTGGCAGAGGGGAGGGGAATGAAGGGTTTGGGTTAGGGAAATCTTTCAAAAATTATTATACGTTCACAGTTTTATTTAGCTTAGTCACATGATGGTTATAGTACTTTGTGTCTTAGTCACATGATGTAATTCTAGGTATGATTGTTTGGCAGAGGGGAGGGGAATGAAGGGTTTGGGTTAGGGAAATCTTTCAAAAATTATTATACGTTCATGGTTTTATTTAGCTTATGGTTTTTTGTCTGCTTCAACCCCAAAATTTAGATGGATATCAGGCATATCTTTACATATTTGAAAATGATGCAGGTGGAAATTGCTATTTTAGCATTGTGCAAAGCAATAAGACTTATTATATCTCATGAGGGTAATACTGAAGAAAGTTCTTCTAGGTTATTTACATTTTTGTCTAATGAAGTTCACTCTGAATCAGTTGAAAGGCTGTTATCTTCACAGAAGTTCATCCATGCCATTTATAAAGGCATTGAATCTATTCCAGAAGGGCAAGTGCGTGGATGTATTAGACATATAACAGATGATATATCCGAATCTCTAAGGTGGATGAAAGATTTCTCTCCATTGGTTGATGGCAAGAAATTGCAAATTTTTAATCTGCAAGTGGAACTCTTGGGTAGAGGGCTGTGTAGACTTTATTGTTTAGTTCTTGATTCAGTCACTATCACTGAGGGCAACAGCAATCTTCTTGGAGTTGCTGTCAAAGAACTAATGGCAATAATTCGTCCCTACTTGAGTATTCTAGTTGGACAACAAGAAGATAGTATCTGCAAGTTATTTTCTTCTGTCATAGGTAAAAGTGTTGATCAGGTGGTCAGAAAGGGAAAGGTTTTAAAGAAATTTGGTAGATCCAGTCAATGGGTCCTTGTGTTCTTTTTTCAGTTGTTTGTGTCCTGCCGAAGCTTACATAGACAAGCAATCAGTCTTATGCCTCCTGGTTTATCAAAGAAGATGTCTGCTGAGGCGGGGGATTGCACAGCATATTCTGCTTTTGAGTTGATGGAGAGGATTGATGACATAGATAATGGTTTTTTTTCTTGGATTCTTCAACCTTCTGCTTCCCTCCTTGACGTTATGCAATTTATTTCAGACATATTTCTTAAATATGACTCAGATGATTTGTCCCCTTTGATCTATATATTTCAATCTATGGCTCTTCAAAGGCTTGTTGACTTGAATAGGCAGATTGTATTGTTCAAGTATTTGCAAAAGAAGCGTCATAGGTCACAAATCAAGGAACTGAAGGAAGAGGCAGCTGGACTTACTAATTTTATTATGGAAAACCTATCATGTGTGTATCAATCCATAATCTCAGTTTCTGATTCTGTAACCTGTGAACATGTAGTTTCTGTGGCTCCTCAGAGCAATGGATGGAATCTAGGAGTTTATGTTGCAAACAAAAACTCGTTGCCAACAGTCATTTGGTCTAGTCTCTGCAAAAATGTTGATATTTGGGGCAACCATGCTTCAAAGAAGCAATTAAAAAAGTTCTTCTCACATTTACTTCATACTTCCCTTCACTGTGTAACAAGCAGTTTTCAAGAGCAAGGTATGCAAGAAATTGATGAGAATAAGCTGCTTAAGAGGGTCACTTTGTCACAGATATCGTCAGAGCTTCTAAATGATTCACTTTTGTATGAACAAAAGGTAAGATGCTTTAGTTATACAAAATTCCTTTTTAACCCTCACACACAAACATTCTCATAAGTAAAGTAATAATTAATTGCACATCAATCTTAAGCAGCGTTTGTTTCAGCTTATTTCAGCTTTCTCTGAACATCTTTAATTTGTTTTTTGTTCTATGCACTAGTGTGATACTTTTGAGTAAGAAACAGTTATATCTATAGATATTCATTTCGTCGTGTTGTTTTAGTTTGCCCACAGGAATCTGGCCTCAATATTTTGCCGTGCTTTAGAGAAATCTGTGCTTCCATTATTTAGTAATATCATGTGTACTGATGTCAATCTTCGGTCATCGCCTCATTGGCTCAAATTTTTAAGTGCCCTTGTCTACTCAGCAGTGGTTGTTGATGAAAATAAAGAGGTTCCAGTTGATTGTTCTGCAGAGGAGAAGTCAATCACTCATTTGCATCACAAACCTCTTGCAGATCTCAGCAGAAAAGAAAAGATTTTTCCTATTACAGACAAAACTTTTAGAGATTGCCACCATTTGCTTGATCTCTTATGTCGGATGCCAGATATAAATGCAAGATCAGTTTCACATCGTGTGACTTGTATTTTCAACCTTGAACGGTACACTCATCTCTCTGTTGGATACTACCTTATGGTCTTTTGTGTATGTGCAGATTAAAAAAGAATTTGTATTATAGAGCTGAGCAAAATTTTACCTAATGCTGAGGTATGATACCTTTTGAAAGGTGGAAGCCAAAGGAAATCAGAGTACAAAAGAGGTCAAATAAGTAAAAATGCCAAAAAAAAATTGTCCAATTTCTTATAATATTATAAATGAAAACTCCCAGGCCATTAACACAATCAGTTACCAACGTGTTAGGAACCCATGATAGAAAATAGAAAAAGGAAAAGGAAAACTTTATTTCTTGATTGAAATTGAAGGAACCAGTAAAAAAAATCTCTCCCCCAAGGTTTTCCCCTTTCACAATTGAGCACTTGCTCAGTTCCCAAATGCTAACAATTCAGAATGCATCCCCCCTCTCATCCCCCCCCCCCTCCCCCCTCCCCCCTCCTCCAACCTCCTATTTATTTATCTAAATAATCCCACTCTAACAAGCTAGCGAACTAACTACTCTAACTATCCCTAACTAATTTTACCTTCATTTCTGTCCTAACTCAATCCTATACCATAGTGTACTTATGTAGCACTGAAGAGAAACTCTCTTCACTTTGATCAGTTTCTTCTAGCACTTCAAAACTGGACTTGTTACTGTTTCAAATGATTTTACTTTGGCAACAAGAGCCTAGATGACATAAAATTAGCAGCTTTACGGGTTAAATCATCAAAAAAAGGAAATAATTGGATGAAAATGCAAAAACATCTCTCTTTGGACAGAAATTTTCAAAATTCTTTTTGATACACTTGTTGGCCCTTGCTGAAGAGAAATAATTCTTTAGTTGTTTGCTCCTAGGATTTGCTAGAAGCATAAATTGGGAAACAAAAGATTAATTATCAGTTTCTGTCTGCATATATTTTTCAGGCTTCTTGTCAGTGCCTTGCTATATTTTCAGAGTACAGTGTACCAGGATTATTACTGTGAGTATTTAAGATTATTTGTTTCTTGTCGGAAGGCCTTAAGGTATATATTACCAGGGTTTTGTGAGAAGGCTGATGCTGTCCAATCCTCACCAAACTCAATTATTTCAGAAAGTTCATACCCTGTTATATGGCTTTTAAAGTCATTATCTGCAATTGTTGGGATTAAAGAGGCATTCCCAGAAGAATTTAAATCTCTGATGTTTTCATTAATTGATCACACAACAAATGTCTTGTTTGGCATGGGAAAATATCATTTTATCCCTGTTTTTTTCATTAATAAAGAAGCTGAGATGCCTTGTGAAGAGATCTCTAGTCATAAAATTTGCCATGAAGAAAATCATTTGATTCCATCTTCTCAGTCAATAGATTCCCCCAAGCTTGAGGCACTGAAATGTTTAACTTTTATTGCAGAGAATTTGAAAGAGCAGATGCAAAGCTTGCTTGTTTCTGTTAACGATACCCCTTGCTATGACAATGCGGGATTTGGTCTGTCTTATGAAAACATTAACAGATTGTCTTCTGCAGTTTCTTGCTTTAGTGGAGTTTTTGGGGGCCTCACATCTTTCATGGGCCAAATAGATGCAAAAGATAGTAATCAGAAAGAAAAAGTGTCAATGCGCAAAAGTGAACATGCCTCTGAACTAAATAGTAGTATATGTTCTCTTGTGGAACTTTTTGATTTTGTTGTAAATGAATTGCTTATTGAGAGTACTCAACTCTCCAGAAGTTTGCATGATACACAGAATTTTGAAAAGCCACCCCTCAACTTATCTTTCTCTGGTAAAAAATATTTGTCAATTGATTGCCCAGTTTCTAAGGATAATGCCTCAGCTGGTACTCAAAAAGAATCTAAAGAAGCAGGTAGTTTCTCCCCTTCATCAGTAATTGATAATATCTCCAAAAGTGCCAGTGATCCTGAAAGAATTTTGAATCTAGAAAGCGAAAATTCTGTTGCCTGTGTTTTGGCAAGGGTGGATTCCACTGAGTTGCAGGGTTTGAATAAGTCTTTGTTGCAAAGCTTGGTAAAAGGTGATCATCCTGCAGTAGCTTTTTTAATAAGACAACTACTAATTGCTTCCTCGTCTCTTTTGAAGCTAAATTTGCAGAAGGATGATTGTTTCTTGCCTTCACGTTTTGTAGCTACTTTCATTGAAATTTCACAAGTCTTGTTAATTGAATTCACAGAGATGGTTGTGGTCCCAAAACAATCTACTTTTCTTCTGTTAGATGGTGCTCTCAGTTATCTGAGAGAAATAGCAAGTTGTTTTCATTTTGCTGACCCTACCTCATCTAGGAGAGTATATACAAAATTGATACAGATTCACATGAGGGCAATAGGCAAGACCATTTTGTTGCAAGGAAAAAGGGCGACACTCTCCTTTCATGAAAGGCAGTCAAATACCAAGACACTTCGTAAAGGCTCTGTTGAAGCTTATTCTTCTACTGAACCGCACAACTTTTGCGTGGATGAATTTAAATCTAGACTGCGGATATCATTCAAAGCATATATAGAGAGGACATCAGAGTTGCATCTTTTGTCTACTATACAGGCCATTGAGAGAGCTCTTGTTGGAGTTCAAGAAAGATGTACTGTGATCTATGATGTTAAAACAAGTAAAGATGGCGGGGAAATTTCATCACTTGTCGCAGCTGGCATTGATTGCTTTGACATGATTCTTGAATTTGTTTCAGGTAATAAGAACATCTACTGTGAGCACATAATATGGCTATTTTGGAAATAAACTTTTAATTTCATTTTTAATTAAAACATGCAAAATACATCCTTTCTTTGGCATCCTTTTAGTCATACTTAAAGTTAGTGCGTCAATAATATAATTTTGATTCATTTCAGAAATTTTATAATAAATGTTCAGAAAATAACTTTGCACAATTTTGCTTATGAAAGTCATTTGTGAAAAATCTTGGGATAGGAAAATGCATACATATTATTGTTATTCTATGACAACTTTTTTTTTTCCCTTTTTAAGGTCGGAAAGGCATGAAACTGATTAAAAGACACTGTCAGAGTTTAGTAGCTGCTGTTTGCAACATTATTGTGCATTTACAGAGCCCGCTTATTTTTTATGTTAATTTGACATCTAGGACAGTTACCAGTAGTCCTGATCCTGGGTCAGCCATTCTCATGTGTATTGAAGTACTGGTTACAGTTTCAAGGAAACATGCTCTATTCCCAATGGATGTGTGGCATGTGGGTCACTTGTTACATATCCCTGCAGTACTCTTTCAGAATTTCCATCAGCTTAGAATTACTAAAGCTTTTGGTCCATCAGATTCATTGATGATTTCAGAAGAGCATATTTGTGATCCAGTAGATGGAGTCAATTTCTTTCATGTAGATCACCAGTTCTCAGTTAATCTATTTGTTGCTTGTTGTCAACTATTGTGTACCACTATTAGGCATCGACCAAGGTATGTTACATTTTTTTATCTTTTAACATACTATTAATCGACCTCATTTAGTGAGGTAAGGCTTGGTTGTTGTATTAATTTACTGTGACCTAAATACAGTTGTATCTATGTGCAATCTGCTACCTTTTATTGTAATCCCAAGGTTTAGATGTTACTCTTTCTAATCTTTAATCAATCTGTGTTCTGCTTGTTTTATAATCTTTCCAGTGAGTGCAAGCAGTGTGTTGCCCATCTTGAAGCTTCTGTCGCCATTCTTCTTAATTGTTTGGAGACAGTTTTAGATAATGAATCAATGGTGAATATAGGTTGCTTTTCTTCAGAAGAGGGAGTGAAATGTGCTTGCTTTCTGCGAAGAATTTATGAAGAGGTTTGTGACATTTATATTAGTGTATCTATACCTTCTAATTCTAAACATAAAGACATACTTAATGTCTCCTGCACAGCATTATAGTAATTTTCCTCCTCATAATTATTCCCTCTGCCCTGCCTTTTCAAAGCCAAGATTTATTTTACGTGTTGATTTCTTTTACTCTTGCTTTCTGTAAATATTGACAAAGAAGAGGTAGCATGATTTCTAGGGGGACAAATTTCAAACCATTTTGTCCATGTAATATTTTATATACTTCAATAAACCTCTTGTCTATTTTAATACATTTGAATTAGATCCTGTTATTGGTAAGGTCAATTTGCTGCCTTTTGTAGAAGACTTCGCTAGTCGACTGGTTGGTTGTAGTGCTAAAATTGGGTTTTGACATGGATGCCAGTGCTCCCTCACATTTTTGTGAAGATCTCATTATCAATTCATTGAAATTAAACACTTTTGGGTTGAAGAAGAAAAACATTAAAAAGAAATAAATCTTGGCCTTAATTTAACAAATAATTTTTTTTTTATATTTGATAGCTTATCCTTTTCATTTTCCTTTTATTTATATAGTTTGTTTTTATAATTGTGATGCAGATAAAACAGCAGAAGGATATCTTTGGCCGCCAAATTTCTCTATTTTTGTCCAACTACATAAGGGTTTATTCTGGATACGGTCCCAAAAGAAGTGGCATCAGAAGGTTATATATCCGTTTCATTGTTTCTTTTTCTGCCAAAGTTTACCAGTTGCAAGATTACATTTCCATCACACAACAGATTTTCCTTTTCTATTTCCGACTTTCATTAAGCTTTGCCAATCCTAGACTGATGCATATACATGAATTCTATTTTGCTCATATTTTGAACTGAATAACAATCAAGTAGAAAGTATCAATAGCGATGAAATTTAGTAGGCCGAGTGAAATTCAAAAAAGTGTTACCAGTGCTCATAACCATTAGCAAATATTGATATTGCATCATTATTTTCAGAGAAGTAGATGAAGCTCTAAGACCAGGTATCTATGCTTTAATAGATGCTTGCTCAGCTGATGATCTTCAGTATCTTCATACTGTTTTTGGAGGTAAGCAAACTTGACTCAATCAGATTCGGAAAGTAATTAAAGGAAGAATCTAATTTTAATTTCTTTTTTGTAGAGGGACCTTGCAGAAATACCCTTTCAAGTCTTCAGCATGATTACAAACTCAATTTTAAATATGAAGGAAAAGTTTGATCTTAAAACTCTGTACGTGGTAATTTTTTGTGCACTCTCATTTTATTTCCCCATAGAACTCTTTCCACTGAGATCAATGATGATGTGTCCGCTAGTATTATGGAAAGCCAATGCTGCTCCTTGATTACATGGTAGGCTTATAGTATTCAGCTTCATTACTATTTTTTGAATTTTCTATTTGAGTATGGTATGCCTAATAAACACTTTCGGATTGGCTCAAACAGATCAAGCATTTTGCATCTTGAGGTGGGATAAATTCGTTGGGCAGGTTGCTTGTGAGGTTCTGCCGAAGCTGAGTTTGGATTTGTAATTTTTTTAAGAAAAGAAACGGTTTTTAGTTTGGAATGAAAGACAATAAAGTATAAAAACAGTTATGGTGTGATAATCAGGAGATGAAATATAGTTTGTTATATAGTTCTGTTATATAGCTTTTGAGTTTGGGTTTCAAATTCTCTATTTAGAGTGCTAGATGAGATTATCATTTAATTAGACAGTCGAACACTGTCTTGTACTATTTTTTTTAGTTACTCGTTACTTCTGTAAAATTTCCAAATATTTCTAAACCAACAGTTATATGTATATGAACATTTTAGTTACAAAGAAGTAGGTTAACCGTATATTGCAATGGGAGACAACTTTGAGAAATGCTTGTGCAGAAATGAGTCAGTTCTGTCTCAATAACTTATGACACATTACACTGGCGATTATTATGCCTATCATTCACTCTGTGAAATGTTATTATTATAGGTATATTAGCTTAGAGTTCTCCTGAGTTGTTAGAAATTCACACTTCTTTAATCCCTTTTTCTTATATAAACTGTTAGAGTTAAGCACAGACAAAAGCAACCCATAAACTAGAAATAATCATTGATTTAATGGCAGGCACAGCTTGATTAAGGCGTGCACTCCTAGCTGCTGCTGTTGCTGGGAATCTGGAAGTTCGGGTGCCTGTAGAGACCCTCTATACTGCAATTAGGGGTGTAATGAAAGTGTCAAAATGGGATGGAGAACGAAAATTTATTAGGCCAATCCGGCTCTTTGCAGGTTACGGATCAAACGGGTCAGTAGACTCACATTTTAAAAATACTTCATATTTAATCTTAAAAGGTTTATGAATTAAAAAAATCTTGTCACAAGAAGAACCAAATGTCCAAATTCAAAATCAGATATCCAAATTATTTGCCCCCTTCAAAAAAGGTTTCGATTTGATTTGGTTAAATAGCAGGCAATGATGTATATTGACAATTGATTTTTTTTATAGGCAATATATTATTAAATATGATGGAAGCTTAATACCCTAGCATGTAGAAGGTGTTGGGAACGGTTTAACTTTCATAAATAATCTCTTTAAAAAAAAGTTATCATAAAACTGATAAAGTAAGTAATTTTTTTAAGGTTAAACTAAATACGTGCAGTCTAGACTTTTTTCGTAGACAGGAATTTGGGAAACACCAACCTAAGATTAGAATTATTTTCTTGTTTTTTCTTATATAAAGCGATATAAGATCATTATTCTTCTACACTTACAAGAAGTCAATTTCATGAATCATAATGTATATAGTTTTTTGTTTGAACATTAAATAAGTGATATAATATTTAATATTATATATAATTATTTCAATATCTAAAGACTCTAAAATAACCGAAGAAAAAAAAGTTATCCTATAGGAGTTGTATAAAAAAGTTGCAAGATAAATAATGAATTCTGAATGTGAATTAGAGATTTATGACCCTGAGTAACAAGCCGTAAGGCTTTGTTTATATTACCTGTGCATGATCAAGCGAGTTTGTCTTTACTATAGTTTTATGCGACAGAATGAGTGTTGGGACAGGGTTTGTTGAGGGGGAGAACAATAATCACCAGCTTCGTTCCAAATGCCTGCTCGAAAAAGATTTTTGACAACGACGGAGAATAAGATCTGTTCACAATTTTGTCGCAAATTGAAATTTCATAATATTAAGCTCTAAACACCCCGTTAAGTTGCATCATCTATACTTGCTAGTCGACCCCACATTTTGGTATGTGTGATGATACTATCGTCACTCTTACGGAATATGGTGATAAGCCTAATAGATAATATTAAAAGGGTAACAACCCCATGTTGTGTGGAGGACAATATAATGTGTATAATATGTATGTTCTCTCGTTCTTGTTTGGATTCCCTTCTTTTTTTAAAATAAAATTCCATGTGGGTAACCTAATGGACAATTAAATGCCTTTCCTTGCTATTGCATGCTTTGACCTTATCGTTCTGAATCTCTTCTACAAACCTTTCTTCTCGTCTCCTCAGGCCTTCAATGGGCTACTATTATTGTAAACCTAGGCCTTGTGATGCTCGTACTCCAAATGTTGTTCTGATCTTGGCCGTGGCCTTGGTTCTTCTGTGTGCACCAAAGCTCTTCTCAGGTGAACCAGAGGAAGAAGAAGAAGAAAGCAATATTTCGCCCTTTGTCGCACCAATACTCGTAGTACTGATTCTTCTTTTGCTGTCGTTGTTGGGAAGTTCAAGGAGAAGGGTTTGTGTCAAGCCACCATATTGTCGGTGTATGCATGCCTGCTATTGTCACTGAATGCGGATGAATGGTTGTGTTCTATGTTATCTTAAAGTCCTAGGCCACTAAATAAGAAGATGCATTGGAAATTTGGAATAAGATGATGAGTGTGTAATTTATAATAAAAGCTTCTGTCTTTTTTATTATTTTGTCGGGTGCACTACAAATTCCATATTACTTGTGTATTACTAGATAGTGATTATAATGTCCCTGTTTATTATTTTCATCTGGGTCAAGTCGCATTATAATTTCTGCATGGTATATTTTATATGATTGAATTTTACTGTATGCTTGCTTTGCGTTTTTGAAGCGACGATTTTCCCCAGTTAAATGAAAAACAGCCATGTAAATAGTTGTGCTTCTAGGTAGATAGATTAGAATCGGAAGGAATGAATTTTTTTTAATCGTAGTTTGCAGATAGTTTTACGTACGGTCAACCGTAACCAAAAAGAATCACAAGTGCACGATCAACACGAGAGTTTTTACGCGAGCCATGTGAGGAGAAATGCTATACCATCCTGATTTAGATATTAGAAGGTTGTTTTACTTTATCTTTTTGGAGTAGGTTGTGTTTAATTTGTTAAGGTTACATTTTTTGTTCCTTAAAAAATAGCTTTTTTCAATTTTTAGAGTTATTAAAAAAAGCATTCATTTCTTGTGAAAAAATAATTTTTTTCAACTAAACGTGTTTTTATGCTTCGTGTAAAGACAGATTATTCTTGGAGACTGCTATCCATGAACATATAAGAATCTGGGAGAGACAAGAAGAGAGGTCAAGAGGAGTAGGAAGAAGTGGGGAAAAGTGAGTTTATTTTATAGTAGATGATGGCCCCCTCATCACCCATCACCTTATACTGGCTCATATTATACGTCACCATACTAGCTCCATTTTTTATTTTTTTTACCTATATCTGATTCTGATTCAGTCTAATGCTGTATCAGCATTTAAGTGGCTTTACAAAATTGGCACAAGTAAAATGCTAGCATGGTGGAGAACTTAGAAAGAGACATCCAAAAATGGGTTTAAAAAGCAATTAGTGTTGTTTTGGAGGTAATCATTTTTTGTTTGACAAAGTAGATCAAATCATTTGAGAGAGAAATGGGTGAAAGTGACACAAGAAAATTCATACTTTTGATATCAACATTACGCTCAAACCGTAATGATTTAAATCGTTATCAGCTTGTTTATTTTTTTTAAGTCGGTATCAATTTAATTATAACCTCTTACAATTAATAATCACTGCCACAAATAAAGCTTCTCTGAAATATGTTTCATTTAGCTATAACCTCTTACAGTAAGTCATGTACGCTTCAAACATGTTTACTCAACTTTTATTTTAATCAGCTCTATTATTAAATAACTGAAAAAAGATATGGCATATAACATTATATATAATTAGTATATTTCATTTACTTTTTAATCTTTATTATATACCTGCATCTTAAAATATATCTGATGTTCAAAAAAACATTTGTCATGCATAAAAAAATTAAGAATATAAATGGGAAGTGTTCTCCATTTGCTGCTGGGGCAACGTTCATAATGGACATTTACATTCCAACCCACCATGTCAAAATCAATTAATTAAAACTTGAAAAACAGCACTGGCATGTTATGTGGTACGTTGGACCATACCATTAACCTTTTCAGGAAGGAAATTCTATCACCCATTTTAGCAAGTTGTACCTGCTTACAATAGCTCCCATGTCTTGACTTTATCATTTATCAATCAGTTTCACGGATCAAACACTGTAGAATCATAGAGTACAACGTAGTTCCAGAAGTAGGCCACCCACCAAATCAGGCACTCACTCATCTGTTTGGTTCTGTTATAAAAGAAATAAGCCTTCAAGCTTCTTAGTTGAGTTCTGATACTCAAAAAGATCATCAAATTCAATGGCTTATGGTAGAAGCAGAGCCTCCTCTGTTTTGGAAGGGTTCACTCTGAATCCCTTACCATATCCTGTTTTGCTACTCTTAGCAGTGATCTTCATCTTCCTTGGCATTTCATGGTACTTTTCTTATGAAGAAGTAGTTGAAAATACTGAACAAAAATTGGGTTGGGTACTATTTGCCACCCCAGTGGTGCTAATAATCCTAGTTCGTTGGTTATCATCAATGGAAAATAAAGATTGGTTCTCTGGTTCCACGCCATGGGAGGGGAACAGGAGAACACACCAAAATTCAACAGAAGGGAGCTCACCATGGGGTGTGGCTGCTTTGATCGTGGTGTTGTTGATACTGGTGCAATATCAATCCATCTTTCTTCATAGTTGGTTTGTTTGATTTGGAATTCTAGATACTTATTTTAGCCAGTTTGTTTTTTCATAAAGGTTGTTTTTTTTTTTTCTGTGCTTTTTTATTTATAGTTTTAACTAAATGAATATGTGGTAAAAATCCATTGATTATTGTAAATATATAGATTCAGAGATGATGGCGCTTGTATGAATATCAATAGTGTTCAAGGTGCTTTTGATATGTATATATGTCTCCTATAAATGACGGTCAAGATGAATATGGGAAAGACATATTTTATCTTTAAGCAAATTTAAGTTTAACATTAGCCAGTTTCATTACATATTAAGTTCAACCAAAGATTTGAAGAGACTTATAAATGAAACGCATAATGAATTAATGTAATAAGTAAAAAAATTTAATTCATTTGAAGACGTGGTTTTCATTCATGAGGAAGAATTGCTGATAAGCTTTCCTATTACATTTAATCGACCTGCTTTCAACGATCTCATTAACACAAGAAATCGATAGCAAGAAAAAAGCATTGAATTTCTACGTTGTTAAACCACTGAGCGAGCAATGCACGTAGAAATCAATTTCCAAGTTCTCCCCAAGTGAAAGGACTAAAAAATTAACTTACATACAGAATATCAGCAAATAATTCAGTAATATTTCTATCTATCTATCTATATCTATATATATATGAGCTGCTCATGAACGTGTGAAATAAAGGAATTATATCTCCTCTCTCCTGAGAGGTCCAACATACAACTTAGAATAAAATGAAGATTAACAAGAAAGTGATAGCAGTGGCAGCAGCAGCAAGATGGGTACGTTCAAGCTTCCAGGGAGACACCACAGCTCGTTGGAGGGAGTCAAGTTCTGAGTGCATGAAGCGAAAGTTAAGCCTTCGGCATGTGGAATATGACAGCAATAATAGTATCAACAAGATGGGGGACAACAAGAGGAATAACTGAAAGTAGATGGCAGTGTGATTTGGCTTAGCCTTGTAGTTGGTGTAATGGGAGAGCCACAACAAGCTAATGACAATGCCAAATACCACAAGCAAGTGAAGAGTTGGAGAAAGAGAAGCAGTGTCCATGGTCTGCTTTGTGCATTCCTGTTTCCATTCTGCACTCCTCTTCTTAGGGTAGAACCACCCCATTTTTCTCTCTTTCTTTCTCACTCAGTGTGACACATGCAATGTACTAGATTGTCCTCTAAGGTTATAACACACCAGGTTGTCTTCTAAGGTTTATATAAGAGGTTATGAGCTTCTTTTGCTTCTGATGTTTGGCTCTGCCTTTGGCATATATTCTTTGAGTGTAACTTCTGTCCAACCAACGTTTTTTGCTCTGTACTAGTGCTTGCAAGTGTTGGGTATCAGACTATTTTCTTGATGGAGAAGGGAAAGAAAAAAGGGTTTCAATGCAAGCATGTGAATTTTTCTACCTATTTCCTCCTATCACCCTGCAGTTTAAGAACGGAAAATCATCGAGAAGGTGAAACTTACTTCTTTACAGTTTTTTAGGTAGCGGCTATTGGTAAAGCAAATTTTTTTCAGCGTATATTATAATGGGCCTAGTATACAAGTTTAATGTGCCCACTAATTAATTTATTTTTAACCATGGGTATTATTAATTATCGACCATAAAAAAGTGTATTAATTTGGTTTTATCTTCTTCTTACTTAAATAATGTAAAGTGTTTATAAACTTTGAAAAAATAACCAACGGCGTCCCGAAAATACTTACATTAGCTGCACAAAAATCATACCGAGGAATAGATTGATGGAACAGCGTATAGCAAGTTCAAACCCGTTTATTTATCAAAGAATTTGAATTTGAATATTGGTCACGATAATGTATTGACTTGTAAAATACTTTTTAAATTTGTTTGACAAACTTGTCTTTTTTATTTTAGAAAGACTAGAAGATTACAATTTGAATTTCGTCATATCATAAGCAACAATATATATTACCCACCATATTGATTTTTTGTATTGTACAACACCCTCACAAAAGACTTCAATTTTACTCAATTAGTCTCTGAGGTGCTGGCATAGTTCTATTGTACACACATATCAAGATTCAACCGTAATTGGAAAGATAGTAAACTCCCTTTGTGAGATTTTTCTTCTTTCCTTTTGCATCTGCTAGCAATACTACCGTTTACTGGTTCACTGTAATCACTCAGATAGTTGCAGAAACACAAGTGACTGATACCCTCATATAGTTGCATCAGTAAAAACAAGGGAAAAACCTTCAAAGTGGCTTCAAAAGGCATAATCACTTGACTAAAAATGTGCCTTTTATCATTCATGAGCCTTTGCGCTCGTGAACTACACTACTTGATGAGCTATCCTGAACGCTACAAGAGGAAGAACACCTGCCTAACAAACTAACTTCAGTGCAACCACTTTCCTTCCTTGACAACTGGCTGGATTTCCTTTGTCCAAAAGATAAATCCTGAAAAACATACCCAAAGCACACGCAAACTTAAATCCAATACCTCTTCCATCACAGCTATTGGTTACAAGATTTCCTTGAAAAGCAACACAGCACTAACCTGATCAGAAGAAGATTCAGGAGTCTTCAACTCAAGGTCCTTAGTGACATCATTAGAATCCTCATGTTTTTCATCCTTGCTCTCCTTGGATGATTTGTTTCTGAATTCTTGTTTTCCTGACACATAGGACTGATTACCTGGATGAAGTGGGGGGAATGTGTAATGGGTGGATTGCTGTTCAACAAGGTTATTGGGAACTAAATAAGGAACATATGTTGAATATGGGTTAGGGATGACAGCAGAACGTTGATTAGCAAAGAAGGGGTATGATTGCATGGGAATTGGACCAGGAGGTATTGGCATTGGCATTGGCATTGGCATTGGCACTGGATATGGATATGATGGGGGAGCTAGCGTTACTGAATTATCCATTGCAGTCCATGGACACATAGTTCTAAGCTGTGGTTGATGCTGATTATTCAAGCTCTCAATATCTGATTTAAGAGAAGCCCTCTCTTCTTTGAGATCATTTTTCTCTTGAGCCAACTGAAAATTGAATGAAATAAAAGTATTTAATTTATTATTTTATGTCCCAAAAGCATCAAGGTGATTCATCAAAGCGAGAGAAAAAATATTACCTCACGGGATTCTTCATTTAGGGTAGCATATTCATCCTTAAGTTTACTAATTTGAGAAGTAAGGTCCTTTAGCAATTGAATTGTCTCATCAAGAATGGTTGCTTTGTCATTTTTGGGCCTATCAGGGTCTGTATTTCAGAGTCACCACAGGCAGAGTCATTTAAGATAAGTGTTGTCTTATGAGTTCTTTACATCAAATGACTAAAGAAGCAACATGCAACTATTTGTTTGATACAAATTATCAGCATATGTAACTTAAAGTAACCTCTGCTACATGTAGTAGAAAATAATCAAACTCCAACCAGGTAAATTCAAAAGCACAAGTCATTGACATATACAAATATAGGGATCCAAAGAAAATTCCTCTTATTTAAAAAAAAAAAAAGACAACTGCAGCATTAAAGTACTTTATGGAAGAACCAATGCTTTGGGCAAACCAATGAAATAACAAAATACAAACCAATGCTTCGCTTATATAACATGAAGACAATACAATGTGGATACTGTCAGTTACAATGCTTCACTAATTAACACATCATTCAATGAAGGAGAACCTTATAGTTGGATATCATCAGTAAGTCGGGAAAAACAATAGTATATAAAAATAACAATGACATTTTTTTACCAGACTACTCAATTTTGTTATGTTAATGAAAGTGAAATTTGATTTACCTAAAATGTTCCCCAGTTCCACAAATTGCTCATTGAGTCGATCCCTCCTTATTTTTTCTCGGTCAGCCTTTTGTGTTTTTCTTGCAGCTGTACAATCCATTTGGATCAACTTCAATCCTTTGGCAGTAGATACATAAGTAACAAAAAGCAGAACAATTTAATCAAAGTTTAGATCATTGGTGTCAGCTTTGGAGAATAAGAAAAACCAAAATTATCAAAATAATGTAAGTGATTTAATCAAGCAGAATAATTTAATCAGACTTTAGATTATTGGTGTCAGCTTTGGGGAATAAGGAAAACCAAAATCATCAAAATAATGTAAGTGATTTACTTCATGCAGTAATCCTCGCCACAATAAAAAAACCATGACTTAAAAAATCACTCCAACACATTTTTTATAAAAGTGTTTAATTTCACAGAACTATATCCTAAATTCTCAGTAACTTAGTCTGGCGGCACTTATAAGATAAAATCCCAGAGAATCTTCCTTTTTAAAAACTAACCAGAGCTTTTATTTTTCACCATTTATTTTTAATTTGTGTTTTTCTGTTACCGCTTAAGGAGTTACAAGGTCATAGTCTATTACTGCTAATAGCCTTTAAATTTTTCTGATGAAAAGATAAATCATTGAAGTTATTATCAAGCATTACAACGACAAGCTCGTTTTAAGTTTTTCTTATAACTAAGGAACTAATATCAGATATTTTACCTCGTTATCTATGGTCGATGATCTTCAATTTTGCCCAATTCCCAGTGAGATCATTGTACTGCTTCCCCACTTTCCCCTAACATCTCTATTCGTAAAATGTTTGGAATCGAGATTCGATTCCTAAGAACAAAGTTCCGATTTTTGAATATGTGAAAATTGATAATTTACGTGTATCTATTTTCCTTTTCTCCTTGCATATCTATTTTTCTTTTAATCTTTAACTTAATTACACTTTTAATTCCTTTAATCTATATGTGATTTTAATTTTAATTATTTATATGTAATTCTTTTAAATTTGTAAAATTTTAAATTAATTTTTTTCCCAAAATTTTATTTAATAGTAACTAATAAAATATGATATTTTATTAATTAATATAAATAAATAAATATAAAATATACAATATATATATATATATATACATATTTGTGTATATAAATATATTAAATATAATAAAATTCTTCACTTCAAAATAAAAAAAAGTAATTAAATATTTAAAAATTATAAAATTAAATATGATCAATTAATCCTAAAGGACTAAAATAATACATATAATAAGGAAAAAAATACAATTAAACATTTATTTTTATATAATAATAATAATAATAATAATAATAATAATAATAAATGCCGTACTAAACATATAAAAAAAATATTTTCAAATGACAAAAGAAGGTAACTAACATACTATTAATTTTGGAAAATAAAAACTGATATTATATTGAATGATTTTTATTAAAGTGTGTTTAGCATGAGATTTTTTAAAAAAAATTTCTAAGGTTTTAGATTAAAATGTTAAAAGAGGTTTGATTTCAAAATATATTTTTTTATTTTAAAAAAAATATTAAATAAAAAATATTTAAAAGAATTATATTATATAAAATTATATGTAAAGCAAATATTAATTATCTATATATTATTATGTGATTAAAATTAAATGAGCTCATGTTATCTCTAATTAAACAAAAATTTTCTTTGATACCTTGTAAAATTAAACTGTTAGCATAATTGTTTTATATATAATTTAATAAAGTAATAATTTAGTGTTTTTGATAATGTCACATCATGTAATTAAATATTTATTTCATAATAGTTTTTTTAGTCTTTTTAAAAGCGATATTAGATATCTCAAATTCATTTTTTTAAATATTTATTATAATCTTTGATTTTACTTTTCATCTTTTATTGTAGTCTAATAAAAATTAATTTGTTTTTTATTGATAAAATTAGAAAAAAATTATTTTTGTGGAAAATAAACTCTATCATTAGTTAAAAAGGTTACTTTTACTTGTTTAATTCTGTTTTATGAACATCCTTCTTTATGTTATGCAATCTGTCCGTATTTTTATTTCAGTTTACAATGAAATTAGTAATATTTGTAAATATTTTATGTGAAATTCCTTGAATAACAAGCAATGTCACTTAATTAGTTAGAAAAAAATATATAAACCTAAGCTAGAAGGTGGTCTTAGCTTTAGGGATCTTAAAATGTTTAACAAAGCTTATATATGAAGCTTTAGTGGAGTCTAATTACTACCTCCAAATACTACGTAGGCTCAAATTCTTAGCAAAAAATATAATTTTGGTCATGGTCATTACTCTATTCTTAATAACAGTCAAAAAATATCTCATCTTTGAAAATGTTTAACTTCTGTTTGGCCTTCTTTTAATAAATGTTTAAGCGAAACTATTGGGAATGAAACTTCCATCAAGTTTTGGATTGATAACTGGAATTCTAAGTTTCTTACCCTTGCTACCCACTCTTTGTCCATACTGATAATTTGGATTTGCAATTGACTCTATTTACATCTAATAGTTCTTGGGATAGGACCAAAATTGTTGGTTTCCTTCTTGATCAAGTTTGTACAAAGATTGATTTCTATACTCCCCCTGTTAGTCATAGGAGCCCTAATTTAGGGTTCTAGAATTTGACTAAGAATGATATTTTTTTGGTTAAATCAACTTATCAGCTTTTATATAGGTTTATCAATAGCCTAATAGAAGACTTGATATATTTAAATTTGTATGGCTCTAGAATGGTCCTCCTAAAATTTTCCTTTTTCTTTGGAAAGTAGATCATGGTAAACTATTTACAAATGAGGACAGGTGTAATAGAAACATGGTTATATCTCCTACTTGCCTTAGATGTGAAAATGCTTCCAAAACATGTTTTTAGAGATTCCTATTATGCTAAAAAAATCTAGGAGAACTTTATTTTTCCTCAACAATGGGTATTTTTTTTAGCAAAGGTATTATGAATTGGTTGGTCTTCAATTTGTCTAATCACAATGTTAGTAAGTTGTCTAATTGGAACAACATTTTTGGAATCATTGTGTGGCACTTATGGAAAAAAATAAAATAAATTCATTTTTCATAATTCTTCTACTCAACCCACTTTCCTTATTCATAAGATTCTGTGTGATTTTAAGCATATGTTTTCTGATTGCAAGAACAACCCCGATTATCTTTCTAGGCTTGTGGATGATCAATCTAGAATCAAGTAGACTCCCCCTCTTCCTAGGCATGTAAAGCTAAATGTGGATGGGCTATTTCCAAGTCTCAAGGTGCTACTACTTGTAGAGGTCCTTTTCATAATAGTAATGGCTATTTTTTGGTTAGATTCTACAGTAGAATCTCTCATTACCTCCTTTTTGAAGCTGGGTTTTAGAGTATTTTCCATGGGGTGCAGCTTGCGATCAAGGGAGGGTTTCATACTATTTGGATTGAAAGTAATTACAAAGATGCTAGCTTTTACTTTTAAAGGTTCATTCTCCTTTTCACTCCTTATTTTGGGTGCTCAAGGCTATTAGGGATGTGTTAAAATGTGTCAAATTTACCAGAATTAGTCATGTTTGTAAATAGGCTAATCAATATGCTAATTGTTTAGTAAAATTAAGCTTATATGATTTTTTACCTCTATTATTTTGATGAAGCTCCTTCCTCTTTACTTCCTTTTTGTGCCTTGTGGTGTTAGCATTGAGATTCCTAGAGTTTTTTTGTAATCTTGTTGATTTGACTGTTAAACCCTTTTGAACAGTTAAAAAAAGTGATCAAAAGCATTTATAAACTCTTTTTTTTATATATAAAATCTCTTAAATAATGAATTACATCATATAAGTCTTTTCATTCCTTTCATTTTTCCTCTAAAAATCAACTTTTAAACAAAACTTTAAAAATTTAAGATTTTTTTTTTAAATTTTTTTGTGAGACTATGAGATATGATATGCTTATTAGCACATCCATCTTGGTCATTAGTTGAAAAATTATTTTGTTAGGGTGTTAATTAGTTTTTTTAAGAAAAATTTAAGACAAGTAATTGAGTTCTTTTGTACTCTCGTTTCACTTCTATCTATCTCAACCTTAACTTTACTCTGTTTCTTTTTATTAGTGATGAACTCGAATGTGAAAGTTAACCATATATATATATATATATATATACATCAAAATTTAAAAATATTTGACTACATTCAATATCTTTTCTAAAAAAAGTTTCAATTTGACTTAGTTTATAGAGAGTTAAATACAAATCATGTCACCAACAGAGATCTGAGTAACAAGCAACTTGGTATACCTTAAGTAATGTCTCGAATTTGAGTTCTTGTGTATGCAAAAAATTTCTAGTGGTAGACTTATCAACCACATCCAAATGTGCGACTTGGATCGGGTTCGAATTAAACCAAATGGAAAACAAAAAAAATATATATATATAAATCATGTCATATTTAGTTTTTAATTAAGGATTTTTAGATAACAATTTGACTAAAGGGACCATTACTTGAACCAAATATTTTGTTAGAAAAAAGGCATTAATTTTTAAAATTAAAAAATTAATCTTAACATTTAATTTGTTATCTAAAGTATTTTAATTCTTATTTTGTATTCAAATTGCTAAATACTAATAATAGATTTAAGGTATGAAATAATTTAAAAATAACAAAATTAATAAAATGAATAAATTTTTGAAAGACTTAGTATGATGTAAAATTAAGTTGAAATTGGTTTTTTTTTAATTTGATTAGGAAATTTAAAGTAAAAAAATTAAAATAATTTAAGGCTAAAATTAACTCTTCACATTGTGATATATGTAGAGATGTGTAAAAAATATAGATTTAATGATCCAATCCACAACTAAGACAAAGTATATTTAAAAATTTAAATTTTTTTAAAAAAATTTAGGCATCCAATCCAAAATTTCAGGTAGTAGACTCATCCACCATGTCTAGGTGCACGATCCGGGTCAAATCTGGATTAAATCATATGAAAAACAAAAAAAAAATACAAATAATGTCATGTTTAGTTTTTAATTAAGGATTTTTGGATAACAATTTAACTTAAGAGACCATTACTTGAACCAAAAATTTTGTTAGAAAAAGTCATTAATTTTTAAAATTAAAAAAACTAATCTTAACATTTAATTTGTTATCTAAAGTATTTAATTCTTATTTTGTATTAAAATTGCTAAATACTAATGATAGATTTAAGGTATGAAATAATTTAAAATTAACAAAATTAATAAAATGAATAAATTTTTGAAAGATTTAGTATGATGTAAAATTAAGTTGAAATTGTTTTTTTTAATTTGATTAAAATTTAATAATTTGATTAGAAATTTTTAAGTAAAAAAATTAAAACAATTTAAGGCTAAAATTAACTCTTCACATTGTGATGTACGTGGAGATGTGCAAAAAATATAGATTTAATGATCCAATCCATAACTAAGACAAAGTATATTTAAAAACTTGATTTTTAAAAATAATTTCAGGTATCCAATCCAAAATCTACGGTGGTAAACTCACACACCATATCTAAGTGCACAATTCGGGTCGAATTTGAATTAGACCGAATGAAAAAAAAAATACAAATCATGTCATGTTTAGTTTTTAATTAAGGATTTTTGGATAACAATTTAATTCACGAGACCATTACTTAAACCAAACATTTTGTTAGGAAAAAGTTATTAATTTTAAAAAATTTTAAAAAATTAATCTTAACATTTAATTTGTTATCTAAAGTATTCTAATTCTTATTTTCTATTTAAATTGCTAAATACTTATAATAGATTTAAGATATGAAATAATTTAAAAATAACAAAATTAATAAAAATGAATAAATTTTTTAAAGATTAGTAGGATGTAAAATTAAGTTGAAATTATTTTTTTAATTTAATTAAAATTTAATAATTTGATTAAAAAAATTTAAGTAAAAAAATTAAAACAATTTAGGGCTAAAATTAACTCTTCGCATTGTGATATATGTAGGAGTTTACAAAAAATTCAAATTTAATAATTCAATCCATAACTAAAACAAACTAAATTTAAAAATTTGAATTTTTTAAAAAAATTTCAGCATCCAATCTATTTTTATCTGGATGAAATAGGTTTTGAATCCCATCTAGTAAAATCAAATTTAATTTATTAAAAATCAATTTTTGAGAGTGAAGTGTGGTTTCACACTTGTGTTTCTGCAGATTGTGGAATGGATAATAGGCTGAACTCAGATTATGTTATTCAGTGCCGTGAGTATGATCATTGAATCCTTTACAAGAAGTGCACTGTCGCATTAAACTTCACATTTTAACCTATTATTTCATAATTTCTCTGATTTTTTAGTGTTTGCTGAAATATTCTTTATAACAATAAAATTTTGCTTTATATTATTTAAATTAAAATAATTATATATTATTCATGTTACAGACGTAATTGATTTACTTTTAAAGGTGTATTCCATAACCGAAGCTTATAACATATTTATTTTGTCAATTATATTTAAATTAAATTTTTAATAAAATTATTTTTTTCTTAAAAATTAAATTTAAATGTAAAACTAATTTGACTTAACACTAGATTTAAAACTAATTTAATATAAAATATTAGATTTAAAACTAGTTTCAACTAAAACTAGATTTTAAACCGTCTTTAAATTAAATTTAAAATTTAAAATAAATTTTAAATTGCTTTTAAAAAAATAAATTAGTTTAAAATTTAATCTATATAATTAATTTTTATAATAGATAAATAGTATAAAGTAAAAAAATATAAATATAATTTTAATATAATATGAATGTAGAAGAATTATATTATTAATTTATTAAAATATATACAAATATAATTTTATATTAATTATTATAAAATTTATTTTTTAATATAATAATTTAATAATAATATAAAAATATTTATAATATATTTTACTGAATTTAAAATTAGTTTTAAATTAAATTCAAATTTTAAAACTAATTTTAAATTAATTTTTAAAAAATAAAATAAAATAATTTAAAATCCAATCTATATTATTAGATTTAAAATGAATTTAATTTTGTGTTATATAAATTCAATCCATGCCTTGATGATTTTAAATTAATTTTATAAAAATAAATGGCCAATAATTAATTTAAATACGCAATTGATTTTCTTGTATATTTGATTAATATTTTTAAATACAAAATTAAAGATATATTTTCTGAATATTTTTAAGTTTAAATTTTTTATAAATTTTAAAAGAATCAGTATTTTTAGTTTTAATTGAAAATATTTTTATTATATTAAATAAGATAAAATTATAAAAAAAACTTTTAAAAATTCTCTTCTTTGAGAATAAGAATTCAAATTTAACGTACAAAAAATTAATAGAAAAACAAACTTAGTTAAAAGATAAAACAAGAAAAAAAGCGTAATAGTTTAGTTATGATAGAGATAAGCGAAATTAAGATACTAATTTGTTAGTTAAGATGAATACGATAAGTGAGTCACTAACTGCCACGTAAAAGGACCAATGAAAAGCTATAAACCCGACATCTAAGCCAAGTGACTACGAGACAAATTGAAACGACGTCGTTGCTCGAAGTCGTTCCTGGAACCCCCAAACGTTACAAATCTCTGGTTTTCACGTTTCAGGGTTGAAAATTCACACGTTTCTTTTGGAATTCGTGACACCACCTACCTTTCACCTTCATCACCATGGCTTCAATCAACCCCTTTTGGATTTTTTCTTTCGCTTTTCTCCTCCTCGCTTCCCCTCTTCTCCAAGGTCTGCTCCCCTAACTCTAGATCTAGATCCGTTTTACCTGCGATCCTTGCTTCCTTTCATGTTACGATTTCCTGTTTTGTTGTTTGATTTCTGCAAGAAAAAGATCTTATTTTTACTTTTGTACCGACTCAGTTGCTTTCTTTGAGTTCTGATCTGCTTTTTAATAATTAAATTTTGAATTTTTGGGGATTCTGATCGTTGTTGGGACCATGTGTTTTGTTCTGCTTTGATTGCTTACACTGCATTCCCACTTTGAAGTTTGAGAGATTGAAAAGATCGCTTTTTTAATGTTGGGCATCGTATATAATCAGGCATTTGGCATTTTTTTATATATATATAAAAAGGATTTTTAGAACCAACTTTCGAAAGCATTAGTTTGCATGTAAATTCAATATGTATTTTTTATCATAGATTTCAAATTTATTTTTCTGATGAATGATATGCTTATCTGGATTCAATATGGTTTTGTTGATTTCACTCTAAGTTTTGTCAAACATACATGTATGTTAAAATCGTCATCTTCTTGGCTAGAACCTGGATTTAATTTGTCTCTTACTCTCTGCTATTTCTTATTCTATTTACCCCATTGGATCTCAAGAATAGCTTGATAGGCATGTGTCCATCATTTTATGCATGGCCATGATTAAATGTGGTTCTTTCTACATGCTAGTTGCTAGGTGCCAATCAGACTCGGACGATGCTGTTGAGACCACTGAAGAATCAAGTGATATTGGCATTGTTGATGACGATGTGCAGGACTTCGGTGATGGGGCCTTCCCTTCTGCTCCGGGAATTGATACAATATGTGTGTTTCCCAGAAATAGCGCAAGATGTAAGAATTATTCTTTATAGTGCACAAAAATATGGTTCATAATGCATTCTTTTGTTCTTATTCAATGGTGGATTAATTTGGTTTGTTCATGTGAATATGATGCAGTGATAACTGCTGGAGAAGAGACGGAGCTGCTAGTTGGTGTAAAAAATGATGGTAATTCAATCAAATTTGATTTGATATTCATTGTTGTATTTTAGCTTGCAGTTTGATGTTTTTGAGTTTCTTAAATGTTTTGCTTATCACAGTTCATTAGTTATGCCATTTGTTTGTGTCTTATGACAACATAGCTTCATTTTGCATGTTTTATTCACATAATCTTCTTTCCATATTTGGGGAGCATGGAAAAAAAAATGACAACAGAGATATTCATTCATTATCTGATTGGCTGATTGTCATTTTAAGGACTGAAAACAGAGGATTCAAGCTTGAATGTTATAGCGATCAAGGCTAGTATTCACCTTCCTTTTGATCATCGTCTGCTGGTTCAAAATCTTACTGCTCAGGTAATAATTGGTAGTCAAATATCCAAATTAAATGCTGTTTATTTTTTATTAAGAATTATTCTCCCAAAAGTATTTTCAATGATTAGTTGTGCTTGATAAAAATTGGCGAGGATTTCATAGAATTTAGAACCAATACTGGAATTTGTTAATTATTTATTGTAACAGCAAGAGTTTCAAATTTTCCGGTAAAAGCCTTGGGTAGTAAATGTGAAGTATGTATCGATTGGGTGCCCCTAGATTTTGGAGATAACACTTACTGTTTTTTTGTTCCCTTGAAAGACTAGGACATACAATTCTAGAACTGTTAATCTTCATATGACAAGGAATGTTCTACTTGCCTTCTATATTGGCAATGGCTTTTCAGCATATTTTTGTATGAATATCATAGATCTGATGCGGCCGCTGCTGTGTGCTAGAAAAGGAGATGAGGATATATTTTTTATATTTTCCGGTTACATTTTGTTTCATCCAGAATTTCTGTTTCCCATAAAATACGATAATAGCCTATGATTCTGTCATCTTAGATAGTGGCCAAAGAACTAAAATAGTTCTGCAAGTCCATCCGGGAAGGTGACAACTTATGGTTAATAGGTTGCACATGCTTTTCTCTCGTGAATGTTTGCTATTTACCCGGTTTTGATTCAGATATTGGTCTTGCATAAATATTTTACATTCAAGTTTTTTTTTTTAATTGCAGGGTTTCAACAATGGTTCTGTACCAGCGTCAGCACAGGCTACTTTCCCATATTTATTTGCAGTTAGTAAGTTCTTGCAGGTATCCCATTGCTTTGAAGGCCTATTCTTTTAGCTTTAGTTTCTCAATGAGTAAAATATTTCAATGGACTATTATACATGTTATGCCTAATGATCTTTTTGTTATGCAGCCTGGAACTTTTGATCTTGTGGGAACGATTATATATGAGATTGATGACCAACCATTCCAAAATACCTTCTTTAATGGCACTGTTGAAGTTCTTGAATCTGGTGGTTTTCTTAGCATGGAATCTGTTTTCCTTGTTACTCTTGGGGCTGCTCTACTCGTCCTCCTGGGGCTATGGATTCATGGTCAAATACAACACCTATCTAAGGTACTAAAATATATATTTTTTTAAAATAATGGGCTATCAAGGATTGCCTTCACTGCTATAGTTTGCTAATGATACTCTCCATAAACTTATCACCTTAATTGGTCTATTTTTCTCCTCAAACTGTGAACTTGTTTGATTGAACTATGATATGTCATGAGATCACAGATCGTTTGTCAAGAATTATCTGGTTCTCTTGTTATTTAATTATTTTTGCAAAGTATGGTTTGTTACGAGCATTACTTCAAAAGAGTTATATGACACTTCCTATCTCTATGGTTCATTAAAGAGTCTGGCTACATGCTAATTGGGATTTGGCAGTGTATTATATTCTCTACCATATATCCATTACCATAATGAATACTACTATGAAATTTTCCTTTGTGTGATATTGTTTAGAGTCCAGGGACCAAGAGAACTGTAAAATAAGTGGCAGTCTAGTGGAACAAATCATATTTGCATTGCATGTTTTTCAGCTATAACTGATGTGGTTAGTGTCATCTTGGTTTGAGTTTTAAGTTATCTAGAGCCAAAAAAATCCATTTACTCCTGGAGTATACAAGAGTTTCTCTCTTAATTTGATATATAATTTTGGGACTGGTCTTAGTTATCAGATCTTTACACATAATATTAAGAAAGGCAGCTTATAAGAATTTTAATTTATAAAAGAATCTCAAGCTTTTTAATAAAAGCCACTTATTTGCTTTCTCTTTCTGATAATCTCATTTGGTGCTGCATATAAAATTTTGTTCAGAAAACAAAAAGGGCTCCAAAAGTTGAAGTGGGGACTAGGGCTACTGACGCGTCAACAGATGAATGGCTACAGGTCTGTTCTTATGCTTTATGATATACATACTAATTGGCTGATATGTTTCATGGTTCAGCCTGTAACATTACTAGGCTTCTGAAATCTCTTTCTGTGCACTGTATTTTGACACTCAGGGAACTGCATATACTCAGTCTCTGTCAAGCAAGTCAAAGAAGAAGAAGTAGGCAACCAATTTCTCAAGTTCAGCCACACATGGAGTACAGAATCCTGTAACAGACTAGGTTTGAGTTTGAGCGAGCATGAGGAAGTAGTTCTGAAATTTTGGCTGAAAGAGACCTACCTTTCCTGTTGTAGCTTAAAAGAATTATAACCTTTTTTTTTTTTTTAATTTTCCTTCCAATGAAGTTGAGCTTTTTCTAAATTAAATTAACAGGAATCTGAGTTAGGAAGGATACAACTTTTGAGATGTGGCAGAATTTTTGTTAGATAATGTTTATTTTATCTATATTTTGTGTTCATTGTGGGCGAATTTGGAATTTTGGTTTCTAGTTCTCTGTCTTACCTTGTTTTATATTTATTGCTAGGGACCCTAATTAATGGAAGATAATGAAAGTGTATTTGTGGGGGGTAAGACATTTATGTTGAGATGGGATTTTGACGCTGTATTATATGGTCTTTGTGGTAGTTAAATCTTAAATACTATTTTTGGAATTTGGAACCATAGAAAATGGGAGGATGTTGGTGGGGCAGGGTAAGGCTCAAGACAGCTTCAATTGTGGGTCAGAAAAAATACTTAGGAGGCACATTGAGAATGTAGCTAACAGAAAAACATCTTTCATGAGGAACAATAATAATGTGGTACAGCTGTCGAGGGTGGATATTAAAATTAGATTGGACTTAATTTACTATCAAGTTAACTTTAAGAGAGGATTGGACATTTCTTGGTGGTTAATCAGATAGATTGGGTGATTGTTATTTGGATTTATTTATGCTCATTTTTTCAATTTGATTTTTGAATTGTGTTTAACATATTGAGAAATTTAATTTCTAAGGTTAATCATAAATTACTTTTGGAGTTTAAATTTTGAAAAACATAGAATTACTTTTAAAAAAAATTATAGATGGGACTTATAAATGGCTTTTAAAATAGATTTTTAGAAGGTATAAAATTAGAACTAAATAATATAATTTTTTATAATCCATCATAGGAAAATAATAAATAATAGAAGTATAAATGTTTACACAAACCATTTTATTATCTGATCTTACTGCAAAATCTGAGAAGTTATATATGTTAATATCATGTGAATAATCTATAAGGAGTGCTTCAACATCCGTTAACTAACTTTTCCTTTCTTCACCTCACGTCAATCTTTAAAAAAGGATCTATTCTGTAATGAGAAAAAAAAAGACTTTGTAATACCTGAATATGTTTATTGGGTGTCTATATTTTAAATAAGACTGGAGTAAAAAGATAAGTCAATAATAAATCAATTTCTATATTATATATCATTCGTGAATCTCTATGTTTACATTTTTAAAATTTTCTTATTATTTATGTAAACTTCTGATTTTTTTTAATATCTTTATTTACATATTATTCTGACATAAAGCATATTTTATATTTATTATAATTTATTAAATATTTATCATTTTGATACATATTATTTGTAATCATAGAATTAAATAAAAATATTAATATTTTAAATAATTTATTACATATTTTATATATTTAAAAATAAAATATGTGTATTATATGGGCTGCTAGCTATTATAATAAATTAACTAATTAATTAATTAATGAAAAGAGAAATAAAGAGATACGAAAGATAGTAGACTGGCCACTGCCACTGCAAAACTTTTTTTGCTTACAATTGATGTATCTGTCACAACAAATGCATATATGGCGACTGATTGTCTCTGGAATTTATGATCAAGTTTCTGCTGATTAGTTAATGTTTCCTAAATTTATACATACTTTTATATCAATACTTTTAAATATCTTATATTATTCTCTTAATAATTCTTCTAATTATTGAAAACAAATATTAATTACTTCTTATATTTATAAATATTAAATATATTTATTTTTTATATAATATTGAGAAAATTAATAAAAATGTATTACAATAAGAACATAACATTATTCTATAAAATTTGTCGAGAAAAAAGTTGCAAGATGGTATAAAAAAAATCGCAAATTAAATGTTTCATTCATTCAGTAGCAAGTCACGTTGAACACACGACACTTGAGGCGACTATGCACTCATTGTAGTGATTGTATTTATTAAATGCTTTTAGCTTTGGTTATATAGTATTTAACACCATTTTCGCCATAGTTGGAGGATATGATCATTAGTCATTAACAAAGGATAGCGATGCTAGAACGGGGTTGGCAACTATGTACTATGTATAGTAGCAATTAGCAAAACGTCACATTTGTTTCTATAATTGATAGAACTCTCCTTGCTTTCCAAACGAAATAAATTCAATAAACAATTATCAGTTATACATATATTCAATCAATGATATGATAGGGATAATAGATATTTTATCCCCATAGTGTGAAATTCCGGAATTGAAATTCAACCCAGAAACTACAAAAGCGGCAATTAAATATAAACATACTTATCCCACGAAACAGCACTAAAACAATGAAGTTTCACTCTATTTTTCTACTTTTACGACAGCCAATTTTTCTTTCAAGTCTAAACTAGTAATACTGTTCTTTATATATCATTTAGTTATGTTGTTCTTCACTTCCTCTTTTTCGTCTTTTTTACAAGACTTTTCAAATGCTTTTTGAATAATATTTAATATATATAATATTATTTACAGAGTTTTATAAATATTGACAATTTTCAACATCTTAATAACAGGATAATATAAATTTACTTTAAAGAAAATAAATTTAGAATATTATAATTACCTTTTAAAAATTTAAAATGTTAACTAATTATAATAATTTTGTTAATATATATGATTTGATTAAAATAATTTTGCAAATAAGGTTGAAGGGAGTAATTTTTCTTTTTGGGAGAAGGAATATTGGTCCGGTTTAAGTAAGTTTTTAGATAAGTATTTGTGGGAGAAGAAAATATAAAATTTGAATAAAATTTTTCTATAAATTAAAAATAACTTATACTCTTAATCATTTCAGAAAAATTAGATGAGGAATTTTTTAAAAAAAAATAGATAATCATGTCTTAATTTTAACTTGTAGAAAAAATCATTTCATTTTATTACTTTTTTTTAATTTTTATAAAAAATTATTGAAAAATTTATCGAGTATTCTATCTATCTGTGCATGTGTTAAGAAGAACACTAATTTTATAAAGGACAGTATTTATAAAAAAATTATAATATTTAATATATATATATATATAATATTAGTTACAGAGTTTTATAATTACTTGTTATTTTCTCTCGTATTTTTCTTTTATAAATATTGTAATTACCTTTCAAAAATTAAAACGTTAATTAATTATAATAAAATTTTTAGTATATGTGATTTAATTAAAATAACTTTAGTAATAAGGTTGAAGGAATATTATCAAGCCTTTTATCACTGTGTGCATATAACGAGAAGAAAACTAATTTTATCAAGGGCAGTATTTGTTTTGGAACAATGTACTTTTCTACCTGCTTTTGTTATCCTCATTCCTTTTCTGGTAACATCATATATATATATATATATATATATATATGTGTGTGTGTGTGTGTGTGGCTTCTTTATTCTTATTCGTTTGCTATATATCTTTCTATCAATAATCCATTTGGTGAATCACAATATTTAACACATTTGAGAGAGAACTTTCAAAGACTGACTAGTGATTATGGTGTATGCGTGACTACGTCGTGTTCATTGAGTTGTCTTTCTTATTAATGATTGTGTGGTACAGTTGATAAAGAATCAATTGACTTAAGCGATTCACGTTAATCTCGGCGTAACACTGAACAGCTCAACTTCGGAATTTCTGTTGGCTGTTAGGGAAAAGTCATCCTTTATGGTGAACAAAAGAAACACAAGAATCTATACATATTACTACAATAGTTCTTTTATTAAATTTAGTTTTTTTAGTGATTAAATTGAGATCAAATTATTTTTTAATACTAAATAAATAATTTAATATTTCTTTCTTGAAATAAATTTTAACGACACCTAACACATGAATTAACTGATATAGAGTTACTTTTGGCACTGTAAAGTAATCCTATTCAATTCGAATAAGTTTGAGAAATATATAATTTTTCTTATTAAATATATACTTAAATATACATAAACCTATACATATATATCGGACATCGTACTATAATACTATTACAATGTTTTTGGTCAAATCAAAACAACGGAGCAGTAATGTAATGTAAAATGCATTTATTAGTGCCATTTAAGTAGGTTGTGACAGATATTCCACATAAAGATTTACGTTTAGCTGTGCGGTTGAGAAATCATGCATTGAATGAATTAGATAAAGCCATATGTTTATGGAAACAGGTGTGTGCACGTTAATGTCTTTTTCTTTGAGAATCCTACTCACACATTGGACCCTTGCACCATGTGATCTACTTAATTTCTGTGTCGGCGAGTTTTGGGAGCTAATATCCAATATTGTTACTATATATTAGGCTTACCACTCTCATCACCTTTTCATCAAACTACAGAAGCTTTACAGCTTCTCAATTCTAAGTCTCCTTCATTCTTTTCTTGCTTATTGTCATATTGGAATTGTACGTAATTGCAGTTCCTTATGCAGATTTTCACCCAGCGCCAAGGAGCACTTGTGTGCTTCTGGTTGTCTGTGCTTTTTGTGGTAGCAAACTTTTGCTATGGTGACCATAGTACAGTCGAGGTAGTTGGTCTGGGAGAGTGTGCAGATTGTAAGCAGAACAACATTAAAACTGCCAAGGCTTTCTCAGGTACCTTGTCTCAAAGACATAGTACATTGCATATCATAGATTTATTTTCAACCACAGTTGTATATATTAGTGTACTTGTGAACACACTAACGTTACATGTTCATTTTGTGGGGTATAGATTTTTACAGTGAAAGACGTGGCAAATGTGAAAAACCTTACGGATTTTACTCTCATGCTTCTCCTACCTAAATGGATGTAGGAATTTGAGATTTATGGTTCCTTCGAACTATTTTGAGTTTGAACTTTAAAAACAATAAAAGGGCTGTTTTCTATTAAACATGAATGTGGACCATAATGCATGGTTACTGCCATGTGAATTGGCTAGGCACTTTGTAATTGTGGATTGCATGTAACAATATTGTGCATTACTTTGTGTAGGGCTACGTGTAACAGTATACTGCAAGGCAGCAAGTGGAGACTTTGAAACGAGAGGGGTTGGTGAGCTTGATGAAAATGGAAACTTCAGAGTGTCTCTTCCACATGACATTGTAAAAGCTGGTGAACTCAAAGAAGAATGCTATGCTCAGCTACATAGTGCATCGGCTACACCATGTCCTGCAAATGATGGCTTGTATAACACCAAAATTGTGATTAAGTCAAACACTGATGACAAATACACCCTTGGTCCTTCTGGGAAGCTCAAATTTTCATCAGCGACCTGCCCTTCAGCTTTCTTTTGGCCTTTCCACAAACATCCACTCATCTTCCATAAACACCCTCACTTTCCTCCTTTTCCTATCAATAAGGAGCCTCCACCACCTACATATGTTCCTATTTCACCACCAGTTCCCAATAAGCCATGCCCACCAGAGGTGCAGCCTCCTGTTATTCCACCACCACTTCCACCAAAGGTTAAGCCTCCTATTATTCCACCACCGCTCCCACCAAAGGTTAAGCCTCCTATTATTCCACCACCGCTCCCACCAAAGGTTAAGCCTCCAATTATTCCACCACCGCTCCCACCAAAGGTTAAGCCTCCAATTATTCCACCACCGCTCCCACCAAAGGTTAAGCCTCCTATTATTCCATGCCCACCTAAGGTGAAGCCTCCAGTTATTCCACCACTACCACCAAAGGTTAAGCCGCCACCACTCCCACCAAAGATTAAGCCCCCAGTTATTCCACCACTACCACCAAAGGTTAAGCCGCCACCACTCCCACCAAAGATTAAGCCCCCAGTTATTCCACCACTACCACCAAAGGTTAAGCCGCCACCACTCCCACCAAAGATTAAGCCCCCAGTTATTCCACCACTACCACCAACGGTTAAGCCACCACCACTCCCACCAAAGGTTAAGCCTCCTATTATTCCATGTCCACCAAAGGTTACTCCTCCTCCAACCCCACCGGTTCCAATCATTAAGCCATGCCCACCAATTGTTCTACCACCCATTCCATTCAAGCCACTTCCACCTCTTCCTCCAATCCCAAAGCTTCCACCATTCAAGCCACTTCCACCACTTCCTCCATTCCCAAAGCTTCCACCATTCAAGCCACTTCCACCTCTTCACAAGTTCCCTCCAAAGCACTTTTTCCATCACCCCAAGTATGGGAAATGGCCTCCAGCACCACCTTTTTCTCCTCATCCTTAGGCTACATTGCAGAGCTAGATGACACTTGGGTCTACAAAATATGCATGCATGTTTTCTGTCTTTTTTTGTGCTTTCGGTATCATCAAGAATTTAGAAATTCTATTGTTGCAAATAAAGCCTTGGAGGGGGTAGGGCGTCTGAACAGAAAAGCATCAGGTGAGGAATAGAGAAAACAAAAATAGAGCGATATGCTTCAGAAGTTTGTAGTGATATGAAATTGAGTGTGATCAATTGTTGTTCTCCAATGAAGATTACGGTATTATTTGTTTCAAAATAATTTAACGTGTATATAAAATTAATGCGTTATGATTGTTTATCTCCCGCTATCTGAGTGTCATGTGTTAAGCTAGCACAATTCTTACCCAAGACCAAGGGATTTATATCATATATGCCCTACCCATTTTTTTTTTCGTCATATTACTTATCTCACATTTTGATCTATTTCTTTTTTCCCTATCTCTCGTTATAATCAGATTTCTGAGATTGTAAAGCAAGAGTTAATATCATTTTCTCTTATTGTTTTCTTTCCTTTTTATTTCATTAAAATTTAGGCCAAATTTTTCACATTTAGTGAAGGTGATGCTTCCGTTGGCTCATGCCGCTCTTTCTTAAGAATTCATTGTGATAAAAAAAAAATGAAAATTAATAAAACTAATTTTGGTAAATTACTTAATTTTTAAAAAGTAGATCCATGTGTTAGGTATGTTATTTTATAAGGAAATGTTTTTATTTAGTTGGTAATATAAAAATATTTTTAAAATATGAAAGATATAATTTTTGGATCTTGTATTAATCAATTTTACCCTATAAAAATGTTAAAACTTTTCTCTTTAAAAGTAATTAACTCTATTGGATGAACAGATCTATTTTATATATCTCCCACAATTTTATGAGTCTTACCATGAAAAGTCAATTTGAGACGGTGAAATGTGATTGAAAACTAATTCTAAATCCTTTTCTAACAACACTAAAACTTAATTCTAATCAGGCTGACCTCTCTTTCCTTGTTGTTTTAATCTAAAATGCATAGCAAATCTCCTAATGTTATCTCTTAAGTCAACTTTAGGGTTTTAGATTCTATGAACTTCTAGATTCGTCAATGAAATAAGGTCAAAAGAGAGAGAATAAATGACACACACAAAATTTAAGTCGAATTTTATAACAATAGAAAAGTTAATTTCTCATCATTTAAAAAATATTAAAAAAATTAAACTAATTTTTTAAATGTAATTGAAGAATTTAAGTGTGAAATTGATAATTTTCTTTTTGTCTTAATAATAGCTTGATGTTATAAATTTATTAATAATATTTCAAAATTTTTTAAAAAATAATTTGTGGGAATTTTAAATAATATATCGGACATCTTTTATATAGTTTGTCCTAAATAGTAAACTGAGAAGGACCAAAATATGAACACTGTTAAAACAAGGGTTGAAGATTGTGTAGCGAACAAAAAGTGTACCTCATATGGGATGTTCCCCCTCCTTTCAAGTCAAACCAACAACTCCATAGGTCAGCCACATAAAATCTGTCTATCGCTCGTGCCCTTCATCAATTGGTCCCCACTCTACGTCCATCTAGCCTCAAAGGACTCCAAAATAGTGATGCATAAAAGACTCTACAAGAAAGGGGGAAATAAAGGTCGCATTCTTCGTCTTAGATTTAAACCTAATAACAAGATCCGAGTGCTTCAAATTATGTAGGTGTAAGTCTAAGATAAATATAAATTTAGGATATTTTAATCAATGTAATTGAGTGAATATTTATAAATTTTGACTTTGAAAAAACTTAATGACATATAATTTATTTTATTTAAAAATGAGTTTAATGAAAGAATTCTAATTTTATGTTTACTGGAGACAAAATTAATTATGATCATATTTTTGTAAACTTATGGATAATTACTTATAAGAAAAAAAATGAATAAAATTTCTTCTGTAAGTAAAAAATATCTTATCTCTTTAACTTTTAAATAAGTTAAGTAAGAGTAATTTTTAAAAAAATAGATAATTGTAAATTAAGTTTAACTTACAAAAAATGTTTTATTGATTTTTTATATTATTTTTCTTTTTTTTTTACAATAATTTATCTATGAGTTTATCCGGATTAAACCTATATCTGTCAAATACAATATTCAAATGAAGTCCACATATTCATATTTAAGTTTGGGAAATTTTAACACACATCCAAACAAGCACTAGTAATATAAAATTAGATTCAAACATCTATTCATTTGTATGTTGTACATCCGGTGTTTTATTTATTTTTATTAATTGTAGTTATATTCTTGCTAAAGGCTTCATAAATAAATAGTGTGATAAACTCTCATATAACATATAGAATAGATGTAACAAAAGAAAATACAGGTAAGGTTCGTGAAGTTAATCTAAACGTGAAACTAAAAAATATAATTCTATTTGAATACTCAAATATTTAAACTAATGTTGTAAACCAAAATTATGAACCTCTAATTTTGTAAAATTGTTTAACATTAGAAATCGTCATCCTTTTAATTTAAATACTTTATAACTTCACAGGTAAAGTTGACAAAATAGGTCTTTTCAATTGAGTCAATTTGATTATACTTAATAAAGTATAAGGCTTGTGCTTCAAATTTTAAGTTTGGATTAAATTCAAACGTATGCAATTTGATATAATCAAACTTCATGCATGCAAAACTCATAAAAACCAAAATTTACCTGTTTTGAATACTTTTGCAAGTTCAATTATTATTATTTTTGCTTGATCCCCTAAAACGTGTCACTGATAATGGGTTGATCCAAACGAGTTAAATATTTATTCGCCAACCCTATTCACAAGTAACCTCTTTTTACTTATTTTTATAAATAAAAATTATTTAGGTGAAATATATTCACTATAAATTAAATAAAATTAGAATTAGACTACAATGATAATAACAATACAGTCATGAGTTTTGATTACACTAATGCTATGTTTATATGTGATAGAAAATGAGTAGAAAAAAAAAACAAGTGAAATGAATATAATGATAAAAAAATATATAAGAGAATTGGGATGAAAAATATGTGTTGTCTGGATGGATAAAAATAAATTATAAAACGGGAAAAAAATCTTTACTTGTTTGGATCAATAAAATAAAAGAATAAATATGTAAGTTGTTTATATGAAAAATATTTGTATAATAATGATGATGATGATAAATTAATTATAAAAAATTATAAAATTAAATATAATATAATATATTTTAAAATTTGACTTTTAGTATTTTGAAATTTTTTATGTTATTAAAAAAATATCATGAAATATAATTTTTTAAAAAAATATCACCACCTTTTTCACACAAAATTTAATTATTTTGAGTAAAAAAAATTAATCGTATATAATAAAATATCCAAACACATAAAAAATTAGTTTCTTACACTTTCACTGAAACAAACAAACCACAATTGTTTCATGAAATGTTTCTTTTCTGCTATAAATGGCTATCATAGCTTCCCAGGACCCTTTCTTTAAAAAGCTGCACTTACCTTTTGGATTTTCAATGTTAGCATTTTGGCTATCATCAAGTAAGAAGGCCACATAACCATTTTAAATGTATATTTAGTTTAGTCTGTTTTAGGAAAAGAATCCCTTGTTTTTCTTTCATGAGATAATTTTTGAAAAAGAAAACAATTACGGTCATTAAAAATGAATTAAATCAGCTTATTTTAAAAAATAATTGCTTTTTTTTTAATTCAGTTTCTATGATTTTTCATCTCAAGTATGAAAAATTAATTATTTTATCAGTAGAAATGCTTATTCGTATTTTGTTTTTAGTTTTATTTCAGTATCAATTATTCTCAACAGTTATTTCAAAACATATATTCTAAAAAAATATTTAAAATCTATTACATATATATATATTCCAAAATTTTAAAATTAATATACCTACTTAAAAATATTTATAACTTAATGTATCTTTCAGCTGTAAAATCATTATAACTTGATAACTTAAATTACAGTATATAGCTGAAAAATGGTTGATAAATATGTATAATATTGAGGTTGAGTTTAATAAATTTGGATAAAGTTATTTTTGAGTCATTAAATATAATTTAAATACATATATAAATCAATTTAAATTAATATTATTTTATTAAAATATAATATTTTTCATCAAAAAGTGTCCGAATTGATTCTCTCACTTAAAAGCACAGGAAGCGAGGTGACACAACAATCCCCAACGAAGCACAGAAAGCGCGAAAAAGAGAAAAATCAAACGACAAGATTAAACTAAACCCTTCCATTGCTATGTTATTGCTGTGTTAGGGTTTAACATTATCTTCTTCTTCATTCTCGTTCTCTCCTTGGAACAATGGCCGATACGAGCTCCGTCGACGCCTCTCTGTGGTGGGACTCATTCACTCTCTTCCTCACTGAGCTTGAAAATTCCTCTTTGTCATCAGATCTCCCACCAAATTTGGTACACTTTCAATCAGCTCTCTGCGTCTCTGCGTGCTGCTCAATTTGTGCACTTACAAGAATCCTTTTGATGTTTATTTAGGCGAAAAAGTTGAAGGACAACCATGCTTGGTTCGTGGACACACTTTCGCGCTTCAAACCGCCCAATCAGAAATCCAAGGAAGCTTTGAATTCGAAGATGTTGAAAATTGGATCTTACCAGTTGACTATTCAACCTCATCTGAAAGATAAAGCGTTGCGGATTAGTTCCTGCCTGGTGAGTTAGTTCATTCTTTGTGCGTCAGCCTACACTGTAGCTCTTACTGATCGTTGTTATCTTTTTGATTGGGTTCATGAGTTTATGACAGTGAAACATTTCAATTGTTGAGGTAAAAGTTTTGACGTTGAAATTTGAAAGTTTATTCTATGCTTTGGAAGTGATGTTGTTCTTGGTTTGTGTTGCTACTCAGTGGATGAATTTTGTTTTTCATTATGGGGATTTACCTATTGATGGAAATGATCAATTTGGCTTTCTACGCCCATTCTTGTTTATTTCAGCTACTAGATGAGGTTCAATCATACATTCTTGTTGAAAGGTCCTTCAAATATAACAATGCTGCTACTGATTCCATGGCTCCGGAGTTTCTTCACATGGTTAGTAGTTCAATCCCCTTGCTGCTTTCCTTTATAACATTGATGGAGCCTAGTCTTGATTTCTGCAATGGTCATATGTTGTGCCTATTAAGAAGAATTTGGCTGATCCAATATGTGTTACTGACAACTGTCAAATAAAATAGCTAAAGTGGATTTTATGAAGTCATAGTTTAATGGATTCCCAGAAATTACTGTTAGTTTTTCTGTGACATTCACTGTTTGAGACTTGAGAGTAGCAGTTGGAGTTTAGAGGTTTATTACAATAATTTAAATGGCTTACTTTATACTCATACACACAATGCATTTCAAGTTACATATTGGATTTTGGCAGAAGGTTTAATGGCCTCTTATGGGTGTTGGATAGCATGACACATTATCTAAAAAGATGCTTGAATTTCACTGCATGAAATATGTGTGTGCATGCTTGTGTCTTTCTGTTCTTTCAACTTGAAACCTTTCTGGTTCTTACTGTTTCTCTCATTTATCATTAAAGCGATCATGACAGAGCCCAAAAGAAAGTTAGATAGATGATTGGTTGTCTGTTTAGTTAGTAATAGTTAGAATCTGCCAAGGAGATTGGTAGTTAGGCATGGGGGTTTAATTATCTGAACCAAGGTAGAAGGAGGCAACCCTTTGGGGATTTAGATTTGAGAACTGAGCAAAGGTTATGTTGTGAAAAGGGCAAACCTTTGTGAAGGGGAAACCTTCAGAAGGAAAAAAACTCTCCTTTAGTCTCTTGTTTGTAAACTGAAGTATTCTCTTTTACTTTGTTTTCTTTGTTTTTCTCACCTCCCTCTTAAAAAACAGAACCTATTTCTAGATTCCTAACAGTTCATGTTACTAATCATATTCTGCTTCTTTAGATTGCCTTCATTGCATATATGAGAGTTCAGAGTACACTGGTATTTTTTTAACTTCCAAACTTAATAAGCTCTAGTTTGAAATAGATACTTCAAGTGGAAAATTTTAGCTCCAAAAGTGAGGAGGGATTGCTGCCAGTATTCTCTCTGTGACACTTACCTTTAATTTCCGGTTTCTAATTTCTTTCCTTTCTTTTATGAAGATGTTAATTCAATATTACAAGGAGCGGCAGTGCTTGCTGAAGTGCATCAGGTGGATTCTCATGCATGCTAGTAAGTGCATTGTGTTTTTATGGCACTTAGTTCTTGTCTGCTAATTCTCTGTATTGAAAGACATGCCTTCACTGAGCGCACGTATTCTGTTTGTATAGGATTGGTAAACATTTCCAGTTTTGTTATTTGGCTTTCTCACTGACATTACTTTGCATTTTGACTCTACATGCAGTACATATTGGTCCTATGTCTGAAGACAATATTGTGAAGGAAGAGGCAAGGAAGCTGTTTCATGATGGACTGGAAAGTAAATTAATATCATTGTTTGACAATCTTTTGTCTTGTAGTTATCCAGAGCAAATGGTATGTTCAGTCTCCATGTATCATCCTTGTTTAGTTTGCATGATTATATTAGATGGGTAGCTAAATTGATTAGCAGGGGATCCTCACATAACTTTGATGTAATTCTTTTAATCTATGTGCAATTGGGCATGCTGTAAAATTAATAGCTGACTTTTGTTGTATAGCATTACGTTCTCCTATTCCCTTTCATGCTCTTGATCCATGTGTTATGTGTCTCCAAGCCCTGGGATGTTGTAACAGTATATTATCATAAGGAGCATGTGAAACACTAGGCACCAGAATAATATTCTTTTTTCGTCCTTTAATGGGATTTTTCTGTCTTTGGTTGGTATCGTCATGATGTGAATGTTTGATTTAAAAAATCTTTGCTTGATGACTTCACCTATATGAATTGTGGAATGCTTGAAGGATGTTGATCTTTTTACTCTGTGGGCTGAGGAGACTCTAATTGAAGACAACTTGGTTTTAGACATCCTTTTCCTGGCATATTATGACCCGTTTTGTACCTGTAGTGGTGAAATATGGAAGAAGTTTGGCACTCTTTACAAGGTAGAAGGATATACTTCTGCTGGGACTTAATTTGTGTTGTGATAATTATTGAGTCAAATCCTTGGCTAAAATCATCTTTTGGATCCAGGGGATCTTAGCTTGTGATTATAACTTGGGAAAGCTGGCAATTACTACAGAAGCACAACAGTTGTCTTATCATGCCAAAGTTCAGCTGCTGCTTATTTTGATAGAAACCCTGAACTTGGAGAATGTTTTTCAAATGGTTCATGATGAAATACCTTACAGGTTAGCCTAGTAATTATTTTTAAATCATGATCAGTACTTCTAATTTATGAAGAAAACACATCATTCAACAGTTTGGTTAAACCAATGAAGTACTGTGAATTGCTAAGCAAGGCTGTAATCCCAAACCTCCTTTGTTATGTATTGATGTAATGACTGGGTTAATGCTAAAATGAGTGTGGTCTGCCAGGCTCTATCTTGAATCTAAAATAATTAAATAAATTCCACTTGATTATAGAAATATCTTGTGGGACAAGGCACTCATGAGGCAGATATTCTGTTCTTTGATAAGTCATTGTTAGGACTCTTTGATCTTGCCTATAATTCAACACACCAATTTGATTATTATTGTTTATTCTTTTATTTGTCAGTGTTGTATATGGAACATTTCCTAGTTGGTTTGATGTAGTGATATTTCTTGTCTGGAACTGTGGGTTCTGAGTCAAATTCTTCATTCCTAGTGTAGTGCATGTGGTCTTATTATATTAGGTATATGGCAAGGAATAAATTGACTTATGATTGATTTTTTTAAACTTATATATTTTGTTGAATGTTGTAAAATCTATTTGGATTTCACAGGAAAGGCGTGTCTACTTTTTCTGTGACTGATGTCCTAGAGATGGATGCACTAATTTCTACTTTCAATGCTTTTGAAATGAATGAAGCTGGTCCTCTAGTTCTAGCATGGGCAGTATTTCTTTATCTACTCTTGACACTTCCGGAGAAAGATGAAAGCAATGAGTTAATGGTATGTGGTTAAGTTTTATTTGAAATTTGTATCTACTACTTATCATGTATGTGTGTCAGAAAGATGACCCTTTTCTTTTCTCTGCATCCAGGAGATTGATCACATTGGTTATGTTCGTCAAGCCTTTGAGGCTGGATCCTTGCATTATTGTCTTGAAATTCTTCAATGTGACATTTTGAAGGATTACGATGTGCGTCATTTGGAGCATAACTTGTTATTATAGTGGAGGAATTTTTGTTAAACCTTGACTGATTCCTCTCTTTTCTGTTATGAAGCATTCAGTCATTCAGCTTTCTACTATACTGAATTTTGTTTACAGTTAGCAAACTAAGCATTATATATTTTAATTATATGATATTGGTTGTACAGTGTATATATTCTTGATTTTGTATGTTCTTCTGTATAAAGTTGTTATACCATAAATGATTTTCCCCCTTTTGTTCAGGGTCCAGTGTCTGGATATCGCAGTGTTTTGAGGACATTCATATCTGCATTTATTGCATCTTATGAAATCAATCTTCAGGTATGGTTGTAAAATCTGTGGTTAGATTTTACGAGATTATCTATATCTTTCTCATTTGGTCTGCTTCTACAAAGATACAGCCAGATGACAGCACCTCCACTTTGATACTGGATATTCTTTGCAAGATTTACCGTGGAGAGGTTTGTATGTATAATCATTTCCCTTCATTTCACTCATTGGTTCAATATCATGATATCTGCTAGTGATCATTTATCAATTCAAGGTATGTGCTCCTTAACTTTCAGGAATCACTTTGTATTCAGTTTTGGGACAAGGAAAGCTTTATTGATGGTCCAATTCGGTGTCTCTTATGCAACCTAGAGAGTGAATTCCCTTTCAGGACAGTTGAACTTGTACGACTCCTGTCATCCCTTTGCGATGGAACTTGGCCTGCAGAGTGTGTGTAAGTAAATAAATAAATAATATTTTTTCTGTTATCTCATATATTGGAATAAGAGTACCTTTGGTCTCTCAAAATGAAAGGCTTTACTTTGTTTCTTCAATTGTTGGTAGCCTTTCTTATGGATGCTTCTTTTCAACAGGTATAACTTTCTAGATAGGTCTGTTGGTATGTCATCCTTGTTCGACATTAATAGTGATTCACAGGTAGCTGATGTCTCTCATGTAGTTGAGGCACCACAGGCAGTGCAAGTTCCTGGGGTTGAAGGTTTCTTTATCCCAGCTGGAACTTGTGGGCGTGTCTTGAAAGTTGTTGGAGAGAATACTGCCCTTGTACGATGGGAGGTGAACTATCCAAAAATATTGTTACTAATTACACTTTAGTTTGCATTTCTAAGTGCTTCCTGTACCATATGACGGCCGATAATTATTTTCTTCACAACTGCTTTTTGGTGGTCCGAAAATAGTTTTTTTTAAGAATAAAGTTATTTATTATTCTTGTATTTCTTTTCTATCACCTATATACACTGGGATAGGATGGGAATGACCAAATCAATAACATGAAAATTCTGCCAATTATTTCCAGTGAGGCTGGTTTCAGAAGTTCCTAATAGAAGTTCTCTGTAAATTCTTGGGTGACTGGTTTGCAATCTGAATTATTATTCTTTAATCTGTAGTGATAATCAAATAAATGCTAGTCTTTCAGTTTTGAGCCTTCAAATGTTGTTTATTTGGCAATTATACATGTTGCTGATGTTTTGCACTCCTTATAAATGTTGCTGTAATTTGAAGAGTATATTATTACCTGAAGTGAGATTCATGTCTCATTGACATAATCCTAATTTCTTAGTTCTTTCTGATAAAATCTTCATTTTTCTAGGATTCACCCTCTGGAATGTTTGTGTTGCTCCTACGTTTGGCTCAAGGGATGTATTTGAATAGCAAGGAGGAAGTTGCTTTCACTCTTGACCTGCTTAGTAGATTGGTGTCCTTTAACACCGTAAGTTGGTTAAGTTTAATTGACCATTTATTTTCACTTTGGTTCTTTGTAAGGATACAGCCATTGCTTGATAGTTTTTGCAAATGCCTTTATGACTGATTTATGGATGTGTAATAGACAATTCAGCATTATATTTCTCATGGATGGCATCATGTGATGTGACTTAAAGTTTTTGAGTAGTATTTTTAACTAAGATCTATGCATCAATAGTTCTGGCAGTAATCTCTGTCTACCTAATAAATTTGGTCCTTGATTATCTTGCTATGTGTAGGGTGTTTGCTTTGCTGTTATGGACATTAGCAACTCTGTGCAACTTCATGCTGTTGGCTTGATGAATGAGCAGGTTGAAAAGAATGTCTGGTAAATTATTAAATTTGAATTATTGTCCTTTTGCATATGTCTTTTTCCTTTATTTATTTTATAATGTATTATGTATATTCCTTGTCCTTACAGGGTGGTTGAGATAATTTGCAATCTAGTAAAAAATCTGTCTCTGAATTCCTGTGGTGCTGCACTTATGTCAATGGGTGTCAAAATCTTGGGGATTATGTTGATTTGGTAATTGAACTTATTCTTCTGTAGAAGTTGATTGCTTTTATAATCAATTAGTTGATCTATATTTATTAACATATTTTGATGGATTGGTTAAGGGTTTCTCCTTGTTGGCTCTTGATGATTTAATTTATTATTGGACAGTCGTTTTTGTTTTTGAATTAATAGTGTTATTGATGTCTAATTAATTATTTTCTTTTCCAATCCAGTTCTCCATCTAATGTTGCAGCAGTCACTCTAAATGCAAATCTATTTGATATCTCTTTGCAGACAACTGTGTTCACTATAGGCAGTAATGGGTTGTCAAGGTAAAGCCATATTTTTTAAATAGCATGCATACGGCATATACAAATAGACAACTTATGCTCTTCACAAGATTGGTTTGGAATTGTGTGCTTATATAAAAAGAAATGGGATTTGTTAGTCCTTTTGTCTAATATTGCGTGACTTCACATTTTGATACACATCTTTCTGGTGGCTATATAGTGTTGTAGCGGTTAATTTTTATGAATTTATTTTATAGAATGTGAAGTTACATCCCCAGTCATTCTGTCTCTTTACAGTGGGTCATGGTTGCTTTCTTGCAAACTGGCTAGGATGCTTTTAATTGACTGTGAGCAAAACAGTAATGACTGCCCCTTGGCAATATCAGGTATGGCTAACATTAATTTCTTATCCACTTTATTTATTGTTATAAACAACAATAACCAAATTTTAACCCACTAGGTGAGATCAACTACATAAATCACATGACGTTAACTCTGTTAAAAACAAATTTCAGTGAAATATGATTTACTATTAAATCCTTTTTAATAATTTCTTCCAAAGTTATTCTAAGTTTCCCTTTACCCCTTTTCAATGAACTTCCAAAGTTCTTCTAGGTCTTCTTCTACCCCTAGACCCTAAATCCACTTTATTGTTATAATGATATTTATTTGTTTTTGATTTTTTTGTCTCTTCCATTCTTACGCTTATTTAGCTTGATTTGAAACCTGGTCTCCATGAAAATAGCTGTGGTGTATCCTAAATATACACGTTAGTTGTCTGCACAGACAGGCTCTTCAAGAACTTGGGGCAGTCTATATTTGATACTTGTTTTGAAATATTTTGCAAGTGTTGGTGCTACAGTAGAAATAATTATATTAAGATGCTATACTTGGGCTTTTTACTGCAACATAGCAAATTCACTGCAACAATAACCTGAAAGCGAAAAGAATAAGACTATGATCCACTCTTGCACTTCATCAAAATATACTGATAAAATCACACACACACACATAATGTGTATGTATGTATGCTAATTTAAACTTGCAATAATGGATTACTTCAATTAAATTGTTAGTTTGACATGCTTTTGTTATGTTTTATGCTATATTACATCTACTTTCTCTCTAGTCTTATGTTGTGGTCTGAATTTTGCAGTACTGGACTTCACCATACAGCTTGTAGAAACAGGAGTAGAGCATGATGCTCTCCTGGCATTGATCATTTTCTCTTTGCAATACGTTCTAGTTAATCATGAGTATTGGAAGTACAAGACGAAGCATATTAGATGGAAAATAACATTGAAGGTCTGTCCTACATTTATTTGAAGTCACACAATTTGTGCTCAGTTTTGATTAATCTTTGCTTGTTAGGGTCAAAGCTTTTAAAATCAGAAAAAAGATGAACAAAAGACTGAATAATTTTGGCAATCTTTATTAATGCCTTGAAAAGAATAAGGATTCAAGAATCTTTTAGAGCTAACAGCCCCCTGAACACTGAACAATATTTCCTCCCAGTATTTCTCTACAAACAAAAACATAATCCCCTCCTATTCCTCCTAACTCTATTTAAAAGGTATTAACAAATAACAACTACCTAACTAACAGTTGACTCCTTCCTTCCTTTCCTCCTAATATACACTTTCCATACTTTAGATATCTTGTTAGTGTCAATCATTTGTTCTTCCTCCCTGGTCCTAACACTACCTCCTCCCAAAGTACCAGCCTTGTCCTCAAGGCTCAAATGAGGAAACTGATGTTGTAGTGCAAATTCATCCTCCCAAGTGGCTTTATCAACAGGGAGACCCTTCCAATGAACTAAAAACTGTTTAACTGTCTTTCCCTCTGCTGAAATTATGCGACTAGATAATATTGCTGCAGGTTCTGCCAATTCGTCAGATGTTAAGTCATTAGGAAGCTCAGTAGAAGAATCATATTGTCCAATAGCCCTTTTAAGCTGAGAGACATGAAAAGTAGGATGGATCTTAGAAGTTATGGGCAACTGTAATTTATAAGCAACACTTCCAATCTTTTGTGGAACCTGATAAGGACCAAAAAATCGAGGGGCTAACTTTTGATGAATACGATCTGCGAGAGACTGTTGTTTGTGGGGTCGTAACTTGAGAAACACCCAATCTCCCACAGCGAATTCTAGTGGCCGCTGATGTCGATCTGCATATTTTTTCATCTGCTCCTGAGCCCTTTGTAAGTGACCCTTAAGCTGTTTAAGGGTCTCGTCCCTATCTTTCAGTTCTCTTCCAACTGCTTCAACTCGGATTTCTCCTTCAACGACTTTAGGAATTGAGGGAGGACTGCAACCATAAACTGCCTCGAAGGGGGTTGTTCCAAGAGATGAATGATAAGTTGTATTGTACCATAATTCCGCCCATGGAACCCATAAGGACCAATTCTTAGGTTGATCTGAAGCGAAACATCGCAGATAAGTTTTCACACAGCGGTTAACAACTTCTGTTTGTCCATTGGACTGAGGGTGATAAGCCGTGCTTAGCTGTAGCTTAGTACCTTGGAGAGCAAATAATTCTTGCCAAAAGTGACTTACAAATATTGGATCTCTGTCACTAAGGATAGAAGAAGGGAGGCCATGTAAACGAACAATCTCTCGAGCAAAAATTTCTACTACCCTCTTAGCTGTATAGGGATGTTTCAAAGGAATAAAATGTGCGTATTTGGTTAGTCTATCCACCACCACCATTAGAGCATTGAACCCCCTGGACTTTGGCAGTGCCACAATAAAATCCATGGATATTTCATCCCAAATTAAAGAAGGTATGGGCAGGGGTTGCAGAATTCCAGCAGGAGACATTGCTTCATACTTGTGTCTTTGGCAAATATCACAAGCCTGAACAAGCTCCTTGACCCTCTTTTTCATTCCAATCCAATACACGTTCCCTGCTAAACGTTTATAAGTTCTGAGCAAACCTGAATGCCCACCTGCAGGGGAAGAATGAAACTCATGTAATAACTGAGGGATTAGGGATGGCAATGGGTAGGGTACTACAGTACCCATTCCCATACCCGCGTTTTAAAAAAATACCCATACCCGGCCCCATACCCGCGTGGGTATGAACATTAATCCCCGTACCCGTACCCTCTAGGTACCCGCATACCCATCTTCTATTCATTACCCGCGCTTGTTTGAGAAAAAAATATTTATAAAGAAAAATATGTTTATATAACTTCACATAAGTAGCATAATAATACAAAAATTCAATATGTAGTTGCCGAATAAGGTACAAACATAGATAACAAACAAATATTCAAAGATCATAAACGTTAAATGTATCTTAATATAATAATTTTTTAAACTAAAATTTTTAGAAATAATAAGCAAAACTAAACACACAAGTTATTTGTCAGTGATAATCCTATTTTGTGTGAGATTTGATTGATTGGTAATGTTAGAGCGACAACGAAATAGATCTGTACAATGGATGTCCCTTCGTGTGGCATCACTTAGTAACTTGTGACGGCATTGACAACTAATTCTAATGAATAACGTTTCATAGTTGTTAAGTTTTAGTGAGACAGACATTGAGAATGAGAATAGAGTTAGAGTAGAGAAATTCAATACTAACAACAGAAAGTTGATACATAATTTTTTTTTAACTTTTGAATTTGAAATTGTAAGAAAAATAATAGATTTAATTAAAATAATATAACATAATTAATATATATATATATATATATATTAATACTAGTATTTTTTAACTCATATACTATACGAAAGTATTTTATCAAAAATATAAATTTTTGAAAAATTATTTTAGTGAATTAAATATTTATAATGTATATAAATTTTAAAAGAAAGAATTTGAATAAAAGATAAATAGTTACAATAAAATTTTATAATAAAGAAATATACGTGTATATTAAAAAAATTATACTTTTTTATCTGAAAAAAATTAATAAATAAAAATTAACAATAATTTTTTATATTTATATCTTTTCAAAAATTTCTTTGAATGTGAATAAATAGTAAGAATAATATTATTTAGATTCAATAGATTATAGTTGTGCTTGTAATACATATGTTGCATAGAAAAATATTATTTTTAATTAAAATATAAAAAATAAAATTTAAATATTATTAATAAATAATAAGTTTACGGTAATAGTAGGTGATTGTAAAATTTATAATATATTTATTATTTATCATTCACTTTATGATTTAAACATCAATATGATTTTATTAACAAAAATATTTGTGTAAAAAATATTTTGTCATATATAAATAATATTTTAAAAAAAATCAATCTCATATTAACTATGTAATAATTAAATTGTCTTAGCCTAATTAAATGATATAAAATAGTAAATAATTTTTTTTATTAAAAATATAAATTAAAATAAATTTTTTAGTTTACTTTATTATTAAATATATTTTTATATTAATCTTATATAACTTCACATAAGTAAAATAATAATACAAAAATTCAATGCATAATTGTAGAATAAAGTTCAAACATATATATATATATATATATATATATATATATGCGGGTATGGGGCGGGGTGGGTACTTAGATATCCATACCCGCACTCATCCCCATTAAAATTTGCGGGTTTTTACCCATACCCATACCCGTATAGCGGGTAAATACTCTACCCATTGTGGGTAAATTTTGCGGGTGTCCATCGGGTACTTTACCCATTGCCATCCCTATGAGGGATCATAGAAGAGGTAGCGGAAAGCACCAATCTGCCATGGTAAAACAGGATGCCACCCCTGAGGACATAACCAGGTTTGGTGTTTGGGTCTTGAATCAAATGTTGGATGATTTCTTGTAAAATGGAATCCTGTATAACTTCTTTTTGTATTACAGAAGACTGTTGCCACTGAGGGAAATAGATTGCGGTTGATAAAGTTGCTAAATTTTTTGCATCCCCTTTTCGAGATAAGGCATCAGCTGCCTTATTAGTTGGACCAGGTTTGTAAATTACCTCAAATTGAAATCCTAATAATTTGGACACCCAACACTGTTGATCCGCTGAAATTACTCTCTGCTGCAACAAGTGTTTTAAGCTACGTTGATCTGTATAAACAAAGAACTTTTTCCCCAATAGGTAATGCCTCCAATGTAGGATGGCAAGAACTATAGCCATCAACTCCTTTTCATAAATTGATTTAGCCAAATGTCCTTCAGACAAGGCCTTGCTGAAATAAGCAATTGGCTTACCCTGTTGCATAAGAACTGCACCGATTCCGCTGCCAGGGGCATCACTTTCAATTTCGAAACTTTCCTCAAAATTAGGAAGAGATAAAACTGGGCCTGTCACCAAAGCTTCCTTTAACAAATTAAATGCCTTTTCTGCATCAGGCCCCCACTTAAACCCATCTGTCTTAGTCAACTCAGTTAGAGGTTTAGCAATCTTCCCATACCCAACTATGAATCTTCAGTAATACCCCGTCAAGCCTAAAAATCCTCGTACTCCTTTTACATTTTTAGGAATGGGCCACTCTAGAACACTCTCCACCTTGCTTCGATCCACATGTACCCCATCAGAAGAAATAATATGTCCTAAGTATTCAATCTGCCTTCTTCCGAAACTACACAGTTCCATACCTAACACTTGCAGGACACGGTCCAGATGCCATATATGTGAAGCCCAATCCTTACTATATACTAGGATGTCGTCAAAGAATACAAGCACAAATTTTTGCAAATATGGGCGAAAAATCATGTTCATTGTAGACTGAAAAGTAGAAGGAGCGTTCATTAATCCAAAAGACATAACCCGGTATTCATAGTGCCCCTCATGAGTTCTGAACGCAGTCTTCAATATGTCCTCTTCTCTCATACGAATTTGGTGATAACCGGATTGTAAATCTAATTTAGAGAAGAAATTAGACCTGAATAATTCATCTAATAGTTCTTCAACTATGGGAATAGGGAACTTGTCAGGAATTGTGATGGAATTTAAAGCTCTGTAATCCACACACATTCTCCACGTGTTATCTTTCTTTTTAACCAGAATGACTAGGCTAGAAAAAGGGCTGGAACTGTAACGAATCACCCCTTGCTTCAACAATTCCTGGACTTGCCTTTTGATCTCGTTTTTGTGATGGTGAGGATATTTGTAAGGCCTAACATTAACTGGTTCTGCTCCCTCCTTCAAGGTGATTATATGCTCTGTTGATCTCCTTGGGGGAAGACCATTCAACTTCTTGAAAACGTTCTTATGATCCTCTAAAATCTGCTGTAGATCATGTTGTTGTTCAACTAACAGGTCTGCAGCAACTCCCCTTTCTTCTTGATCTAATTTGGACCACGACATCCCACCCATCAACGGCGTCGTACTACCAACCAAACTATAGAGAGGAGCCTGACCATCCTTCATCTTTCTTTGTTCTCCACTTTCCTCGGAGCCCACTCCTTTAAATTCAACCATTTTTTCCTTCCACAAAAACAGCATTGACATATCTCTCGAATCCATTGTCACAGTTCCCAAGGTTTTAAGCCATGTCATCCCTAAGATAACATCTAATCCCCCAAGATCTAATACGTGTGCATCTAGAGTCATTTCATTGCCATCCAGCTGTAAAGGAATCTGTGAACAGAATCCTTTAGAATGTATTAAGTGTCCATCTCCCAGCCTCACCTTGAATTTGGGCTCCTCATTCACTTTTAAGCCCAAAGAAAGGACCACTTGAGGAGCCACAAAACTTTCACTTGCTCCGCTGTCCACCAAGAGCACTACAGGGACTCCCATTAACAGCCCATTTAATTTCATTGTTTTGCCCCATTTGGACTTCCACCCGCAAGGCCCAGTAAGCCTATTCCTCGACACTCTATCTCCCTTCCTTCTTCCTCCGATCCATCTCCCCCTACCTGGTGCGCCGCTGGGCCAACTGATCCAGACCCGTCGTCTTCCTCATCTTTTGCCAAAATTGTCAAGCGCAGAGACCGATCTTTACACTGATGCCTTAGTTCGTATCTTTCTCCACACATAAACCCAGCCTTCGTCGCTCCATCAACTCATGGGGAAGATGTTTCACACCCCTGCTATGATTGCCTCCGTCACCTCTTACCACCCCATAGTGCGACGTCGCTGAAGGACCCAAATAGGGTCCTATGGTAGGATTCTTAAATCCCTAGATACCTGAGTAACCCCCTGAACGCCCAAGATCTTGCTGAACAGAGACAGAAAAGCTTCTTCTTGGATATTTGGAAGTCAGCGTTCCCCCTGTGTAATTCTTGTCCGTATAAAAGATGACTCACCGTCTTTGGCCATCTCAGCTTCAATACCCCTTGCCAAACGCATAGCATGTCGCCTAGTTGGTGGATCCAGAGTACGTACCCGCAATCTGATTTCGTCTTTCAACCCTCCAACAAATTACCCGAGATATTGAGTCTCAGGCAGCCTTGGAACCTGAGAGGCTAGAGCTTCAAACGCTTCAATAAACTCTTCCACAGAACCTTCTTGCTTTAGTAATTTCAATTCCTCAAAAGGATTATCCAAACGATCACTCCCAAACCTAACGATCAAGGCCTGTTTTAGATTGTACCAAGTTGGTTCCTCCTCCTCACGCCACAAATTGAACCAATGAATCGTGCTCCCCTCCATACAAATCTTGGCCAACTTTACTTTCACGACCTCACTGGTACCATGCACTTCAAATTAAGTCTCTGCTCTACATATCCATCCAACAGGGTCAACCCCATTAAAGGCAGGTAGTTCCACCTTCTTAGCAGAAGATCGAAACTCTGCGTCAATGTTTCCTTCCTTGGCATTATTGTCATTCAAACTTACATCCCTTTTGCCCCGCGACTCCATATACAATTGATCTTTCGTTCCCTTAGCAGTACTTATCTTGTGAATCTCTTTCAACAATTCTTGCTGCGTGACGTTCATCTCCTTTATTAATTCAGACAACGTTTTCTGCGATACCTCGATGTTTTGAATCCTAGATTCAAGAACATCCACCCTCTCGTTCATTCTTGTTGGCATGGGAGTAATCGTATCCGGCAGGTCGGACCAATTGTTAGGGTCAAAGCTTTTAAAATCAGAAAAAAGATGAACAAAAGACTGACTAATTCTAGCAATCTTTATTAATGCCTTGAAAAGAATAAAGATTCAAGTATCCTCCAGAGCTAACAGCCCCCTGAACACTGAACAATATTTCCTCCCAGTATTTCTCTACAAACAAAAACATAATCCCCTCCTATTCCTCCTAACTCTATTTAAAAGGTATTAATAAATAACAACTACCTAACTAACAGTTGACTCCTTCCTTCCTTTCCTCCTAACATACACTTTCCATACTTTAGATATCTTGTTAGTGTCAATCATTTGTTCTTCCTCCCTGGTCCTAACATTGCTGAACACTTCTAAAATTCCTAGTGACTGGTAGCCAGAGCGAATTTGAGCATAAGCACGAAAATAAAGGAAAGTGTGGCAAACAAGGGTATTAGAATTGCTTGAATTGTATGATTTGTATCCCTATTTGGAACCATTTCTGAAGAAATGGATATCAATTGCATGTGAGACTCGTTTTTGACTTTGAACTGCAGCTTGAATCATGATAACTTGTGAATCTGAACTGCTTTGTGGGATTCTTGCATTCCAAAAGGGGTATGGTTGTGCGACCCATTCTGAAAAATAGCTGTTTTGGTTGTTTTTGGCAATTTTATAAATTTAAGGGGTAAGTGATGAAATATTCCCTTCCATGGCCTGAAGTCAGATTATTGACAAATAAAGATATGTCAAATTTCATTCAGTTCAAGTTGCAGAACAGGGTCATTAGATCAAGTTTCATCCCTCAACTGGGAAGGATGGGCTCTATAATATGCCTGGATTTTTTCTTTTGACTGGGTCAGCTATTCAGCCTGATTAATAACTTGATCCAAGTGAGGCTAAAACTTAAAACTGATGGTGAACATGGCAGATCTAGAGCAGAGAGCAGGTTGAGGATCTTGGTGTCTTTGTTCATGAACATTGCTGTATTTCTGTTCAGTTTTGGCCAATGTGTGAGTTTTCCGTTTTGTGGTTTGGTGGCTAGTGTGTAATCATGTAACAGACAAAAGAAATTTATGATTACAATTTTTAAAAATTGATAGATATTTAGGTATTATAATTTTTTTAAAATAATAACTATTATATATTTTTCTTTTTTTAACATTTCTAGGGGCTATATAGTTATCTTGAACGATTGATTTATTTTCTTCGTAAAAACGAGATCACAATCTCTGAGAAACACTGAAAATAGAAGTACAAAATAAATATTCTTATCTAGTGGTCCTCTGTTGGCATATTTGTTGATTAGAAAATATCTGTTTTTGTTTGATCTTGCTGTTTATTGCTCCTATGGTCAATTGAAATTTAAGATTTTGTTGGATTGTGGCTATTTGACAGAGCTTTTACTGCTGCTGTCTGAAAGATATCTCCAAGACAATAAATTATGTGAATTAGCTTTTGGTGCTCTGATGTCAATTGCCTCCAATCTATTGCTAGCACAGTGGGGCTTGATTCTGGAAAATAGTAAATTTATAATGTAGGTTGTGTACAATAAGGATTAAGATTATGCTATTGTGACTAATTTCAAACTTTGGGATACTATTGCAGGTTCTTGAGTTGATGAAAAAATGCATTGTATCAATGCCTTATTATGGAAAGTTGGGTGAGATCATACGCAATGTGTTGTTCTCTGATTCTTCCATTCATAACACGCTTTTCCAAATTGTTTGCACTACTGCAAATGCTCTAGAGGTGACATACATTGAACGTTTGTTAATCATGCTTTATTAGTCTTTTGTTTCTTATATCTACATCTTTTTAACAAAAGCATTTCTTTTTAATAGAAATTCCATGTAAGCCGCTTCTTTGATCCAATGGAAATTGAAGGGTTACAGCTTGCTGTAGGTTCTGTTTTAGATATTCTTTCAGTCATGTTGACCAAACTTTCGAAGGTACAGAGGAAGACCAAAAAGATTTATATTGAATGATAATCAACTTGCATGGTTTTATTAGTTACATATGATTATAGAAATTCATATGATGATATTGAATTGATGGAATATCATAATTGTTATAGTAGTTTATAAACTTTTTTGTACTATAAATCAATACTTTTCTTCTATATAGTCCTTTATTATCCATGACTTTCCTAGTTACTGTCTATATTCATGATATCTTTACATTATGGAAATGCTGAAAATCATTCTGTGTTGTCCAGGATACTTCATCCAGCTTCCCTGTTTTTCTCCAAGCTGTGTTCTCATGCACGACCAAACCAGTTCCTGTTGTCACTTCTGTTATGTCCTTAATTTCATACTTCCGAGATCCTGTATGAACACTATCCTTGCTCGAATTGGAGTTTCATTATATTTTTCTCATTCTTTTTATACACCTCCTTACTATGTACTGCACACTTGCAATGGTGGTAATGGGTTTTTATTGAGCAATAACAAACATTTGCCTCTGTACTTTTTTCTTCCATCAACTAGAGATCAGTGAACTGGTCAGTGCATTCTGCTTCATTAGTCACACATTATATTATAATATATTAATGGTATTAGTTGCCTAAGGGACTAGTATTGATCATATTCATTAGATTCTCTTGGTTTTCATACTTACATTTGAATTGTCAATTTGTCACTTCTCTTTTCTGTGCTTCATTGAGAAAAACATATAATCAGGTATCAAGAGAAGTGTTATGAAAAATTTTAGAAAAGAAAAAGGTTTGTGTAGCATATATTTAGGCTTATACAAGACATGTATTAAAGGATAACTACATATGTAAGAACTTCCGAAGGCATATCTTAAAACTTTTCAATTGGAATAAGTTTACATCAATGCTCTGCTTAGAGTGTTTAGGGTTTAGGGTATCAATGCTCTGCTTAGAGTGTTTACTTGTTTCATCTAGTTTTAAATGTGTTTATAAATGACATACAAAAAATTATCTGTCAGTGCATACTCGTTGCAAATGATATAATGTTGGGTGAGAATTCGAAAGATGTTAATGCTAAACTTGAGTTATGGAGACTTTAGAATCTAAAGATCTTTCACTTGAGTAGAAGACAAAGTATATGCATTGTAGTTTTAGCACAAAACAATATGAGGATCATTTGCTAAAAGTTAAAATTGAAGATAATATTATACCTCAAGTTTTCAGTTGTAGTTACTTGAGATCAATTATACAAAATGATGGAAAAATTTAATTAAAATATTACTTAAAAAATACAAGCTGAGTGGTTAAAGTAGAGATAGACATTGGGAGTTATGTGTGATTGTAAAATACCTATCAAATTGAAATAAAAGTTTTACCGTACTGCAATACAACTGACTATCTTATATGGTAGTAAATGTTGGACTTCAAAGGAACAACATGAGAAAAAAGTGAGTGTCAGAAATAAGAATGCTAAGGTGGATGAGTGAATATACAAAAAAGGAAATGATACAAAATGATAGTACAAGAGAGTATATTTGAATAATACCTATAATGAAAAAGATAACTGAAAATCATTTAAAGTAATTCGTTTATGTGCAGAGAAAACCTTGGAGGCACTAATAAGAAGAGTGAATTGCATAACTCTTAGTTCGGTGAAAATATGTTGAGGGAGTCTCAAAAGAACCTTAGATAAATTTATTAAAAGAACATTTTAATTAACTAAATTTCTGAAATTTTGATTTTAACTGAATTCAATGGTGATGTGTGAACCATGTAGCCGACCTCACCTAATGGGATAAGATTTGGTTGTTGTTTGTCTTTTTTGTGCTTCATTGTCTTATTTTATTTGGCATGCTTACTGTTTACACATAGTATACATCTCAGCATGCATTTGATGCCATAATGTAGTGGGCCCCACATATATCTGTTGATAGATTATTTATTACTTGTTTTACTACCCTTTCACTGAATATGTACTTGATGGTACGGTGGTACCTGATTTTCTATTGCATTTCTTGACAACTGATATCTTATTGCCTATGTAGGCCATCCAATTTGGTGCTGTCAGGTTTATTTCAATGTTATTTGCCATAGCAGATTGTATTCAACCAGTTGCATCTGGAATCACATGCTATGCTCCAGATAATGAGGAGGTATGGGTTGTTAGTTTCATTTTCTTCAAACTATTGTTCTTGTAGCCTTTAAGCTTCATTTGAGTCAATTTTTCATATTTATTTTAGATAATGGATTTGAGGTACTCTCTGAGCTACATATTACTGGAGCAACCAATATCAAATGAAGATCTCTTTGTTGCAATAGTTAATCTGTTTATCTCTGCTGCACAATACCAAGTATGTATTATGCATAGTAACTTAAAGAATTGGACTTCACATTTTGTGGAGAAGTTACAAGGTTACTTGCATTGATACCAATTATTATTATTATTATTATTATTTTTATTATTTGGTTCTGGTTATAAAGTTATGTAAATTTCAAAATGGATTCTACAAGTTTTTGCTTCTATCTTCACAGAGAAAATGTCCACTGTTCTTTTTCTGACTGTATATTAGTTTATCACTAATATTAGAATTTCATTGTATGCTTGTTTGTTTATCAGTCACATACACTTTAGTAGCACAAATCTGTGTTATGTCGACCACTATTCAAAATGTTTTCACCAAAAGAAAAAATGTGGACACTGGACATGGTTTTTATGACTAATGGCAGGCTTAGAATGCTGTAAATGCTGATTTAAATTGTTGTGTCCACACTATGTTTCAATTATTTTATTTAATTTTATTGGGGGAATGGAGCTCAAAGTGGAATTTTCACCATATTCAGTTTTGTTCAATCACCTTTTCTTATTTGATTTTCCTTTTTGCAGCCTTCTTTTATTGTTGCTATCTTTGCTCCAGAGGAGAACAATGAAGACCACTTGAGCAATGGTGATGCAAAGCTGAAAAAAAATGAAACTCCTCTCGTACCATTAACTTCTAAAAGATCAAATCTTGTAGATGCCCTTATGCACTATATTGAAAGGGCAGATGTTCTTATCAAGAGGTTCAAACTGTGGACTATATTTTGTGTGTGGGGGGGTGGGGGGGGGGGTGGGATTCCTTATTTGCTTTTTTGCATAGTTTCCATCCTCATTGCTTATGCTTTTTGTTGGATAGCTGGTCAGTTGTCATGCTTACTTAAATCTGTAAGTTACTCATTTTATTTTTCTCTTTTATCTCCAGCAATCCTCGCATACTTCTTTGTGTACTTAACTTCATGATAGCCTTATGGCAAGGGGCTCCCCAGTATGCCAATCTTTTGGAGTCTCTAAGAAGCCATGGAGAGTTCTGGAAACACTTAGCCAATGCAATCTCAAATATTGCGAGCAGTGAAATTCCCCTGCTCGAGAATTTGAAAGAAGAAGATGCTTTAAATCTGGCATACAGTTTTCATTGTCAATCTGCCATACTAGGAATCATGGCATATGAATTATTCTTGCAGAAAAAGTTGTTGCATGCAGAGTCTCTTGTTAAGGATGCAGCTGAATCTAAGGATAAGGAGCAAAAGGCCACAAAAGCTGAAAAATCTAAAGTCACAGATCTTCATGATCTGAAGGAAATCTTGTTCTCATGGTTCAAAGACTCTGTTTTAGAAAAACTAATCAAATCATATGCTTCTTGTGGATATAATAATGATATATATTATGGTGCAAAGGTTAGCCCGATGTTGTTTTCCTTGTTGATTTAATAGGCATGAGTCTTTTCTGTGATTGGTTTAATCTTGTAGCTATTCTATTTTTCTTGCAATTCCTTGCATGTGCCTAGTTATTGCATTTGTTATGCTTTCAACATTAAAGAAATGTCCCATTCTTCTTTTCTGATCTTGCTTGAGTCTCTACAAGGCCTTTGGCATAATGCACATCAAAAGATGAAATTTTGTTTAATTATGTTTATATGTGATGCAATTACAGCTACACTTTATATATTTATCTTCCCTTTTTATTTACTTCCGGCATGTATTTTATATTTTTTTATGTGTATGAGCATGTAAATTTTCAGGTTGCCACGGGATTATTCTCTGTTCATGCGATGATGAAATTAGCAGTTTGCGATTCTGGAAGTTTATCTGTATTATTGCTTCAGAAGATTCATGAAATTCTGATGAAGGTCCAACATTTAATCTATTATCTTCTATGAAAATCATTTATTCTGATTTACTATGTAATGCAATAAAGGATATTGATTCATATATATAATTATATATATCTATATATCATACAAATTTTTATGAACTTGGTAGGCATCGAAAAAGTATCAAAACTTCTGGTTTACTTGCCAAATCATCTATTTTCATCAGTTGAGTATTTTGAAACATTTGCTAATATATAGAAACATTTCTTGTTTGCAGTTGAGCATTCATCCTGCTTTCACTGAGTTGCTATCTCAGTATTCACAACGTGGTTACAGGTTACTAGACTTCATCCATATGTGTTATTTTTAGCTTCTGAAGACAAAATTTTTCTATTTCAATTGCATGTTATGTGTGCCAATGATGAAACATCAATGAACAATTCATCTTGCTCTGCATATAGTCATGCATTTACTTTTCATGCAAAATCAATTAACAAAGACCAATTACGGAAACACCATTTTTGAGGAAATCCTCAGTACTTTTAATCTGAGTTAAAGGTCGTGCTTTTCTTTCCACCATACAATTCATGTCTTGAACTTACCTTATCTAACTAAAACAAATTTATACTTTCTTTTGTTATGTACATTGATCATAATTTGGATTTTTTTCCTTGTTATGTACAGTGAGGGGAAGGAGCTAAAGAAATTGATACTTAGTGATCTCTATTATCATTTGCAAGGAGAGCTTGAAGGGAGAAAAATTGGGATTGGACCATTCAAAGAGTTATCTGCGTATCTTGTTGAGTCAAATTTTTTGGGAAACTATCAACATCAGTTCAATGAAGATTCTTTTACAAAGAATGTCTTTACAAAGAATTTGTACTTGTTTGACCTTGAACACTTGCAAGCAGATTTGAGATTAGATGTGTGGGATTGTTCTAACTGGAGAGCATCCAAGGAGATTGCAGAGACCATGTTGCGTTTCCTGCAAGATGCAAACTCAGTGATGTTGCTTTCAAGTTCAAAGCTTTCTGCATTAAAAGGACTGATAGCTGTGTTGGCTGTCTACCATGATGATGTGAGAATTTAAAATTCCGATTTCCTTTCATTGCATTTCCCTATTTATAATATAATTAGAGAGTTTTTGTGAGTTACAAATGTTGAAATGTCCATTTGGTAGCTCAACTGCTCAGCTGCTGCTTTCATTGTCATAAGTTTTATCCCTGCAGTTAGTTTATGCACGATTCTTATAGGTGGAAATTATGCTCCTTTTGTAATGAGAAGCAATATTTAAAGATTGTGAACATTTTCCTTGTCTTGTTACGATTGAAACGTCAAGGGATGATTAAAAAATTGCTCTGATCAGAGTTCTTTTCTGTTGTAGTTAAATTTGTTTTGCCATGGTGAATACAAGTCATCAGTAGGATTCTTTGCTTTATAGTTTTCATTGCTTGACTGCAAACATCAAATAGGAAGGACAATGAAAAGGTCTGTTTGTGATGTTGTTTTAGTTGACTATTTTGTGAAGGGTACCATATCAAGTTTGTCAATAGTTTGCTGTTGGTTTCTATTAGCAATGGGACAAAACATTGCATAAATTTTTGCCTGAGAATTTATCCCAATTTTAAATGCACAGGGAAAAGAAAAATATGACTATGAACCATTAGAAACATTTTAGTGTGAAAAGGTATTTAAACATTGATGTTCCAGTTTTCATGTGCTTTTCTTTGTTTTTAGATTGATTTTTTTTTGTTTGGTCTTGTCATTTGTGAATAACTTTCTCCTTCCTGCCCTTTGTTGGTGGCTTATCTTTTACAATATTCATTTTTCATTTGCTCTTGCAGTCAATAGGGAGGCCTACTACTGGACAGAAGATCCCAGATGAACTCATATTGACTTACATAGATAATTTATGCCAATCTTTCCTTGCTACCATTGAGACATTGTCACCTGTTCTAGATGCCTCTGAGGATATTCTCAATTTTCTTGCATGTCATGTAGAATTACTCCTCCAGTTGACAAAAACTGTCTGCAAAAGCCTCTCCTTACGTGTATCTCTACTAGTTTTAAAATGTGCAAGCTCAGGTCTTAAACTATTGAGTGAACTTAAGCCGGTACCTTCTGAGGCTAATGTGATCATGAAACTTCTACTCACATTGCTGCTTTTGGTACTACAGTTCAACTCCCTCAATGCACATTCAGGTGGGGCAATAGATGAGAGTTCTGGTGAGGACTACTCAAAGGTTTCAAATGCAACCCTAGGACTACTACCAATTCTTTGCAACTGCATTGCGACTTCTGAGCATTGCATGCTGTCCCTGTCAGTTATGGATTTGATATTGAGAAGTTTCTTGACGCCCAGGACTTGGTTGCCTTTGCTGCAGAATCATATCCAACTTCCACTTGTTATGCTTAAACTCCATGATAAAAATTCCCCCTCCATTCCAATAATAATGAAGTTCTTTTTGACCCTTGCACGGGTTAGAGGAGGTGCGGAGATGCTTTATTCTTCTGGCTTCTTGTCATCTATGAGAGTGCTATTTGCTGAATCTGGTGAGGATTTCTCAAGAATTGGAAGTGAGAATCTGGGCAGCTCAGGTGAAATGTTCAAAACACCTCAAGACATTTGGGGGCTTGGATTAGCTGTGATTACTGCTATGGTTAAATCCTTGGGAGACAATTCTTATGGCACTGCTGTTGTGGACAGCATGATACCATACTTCTTTTCAGAGAAGGCTCATCTTATTTTTTATTCTCTAAATGCCCCCGACTTACCTTCTGACGATCATGACAATAAAAGACCTCGGGCACAGAGGGCATGGATTTCTTTTTCTACCCTTAAAGAAACAGAACATACTTTGATGCTCATGTGTGAGCTTGCAAAACATTGGCATTCATGGATTACGGCAATAAGAAATGTGGATAAACAACTAAGAGAGAAGTGTATCCATCTTTTAGCCTTCATTAGCAGGGGAACTCAACGCCTTGGTGAATTGTCAAGCAGGAATGCCCCTCTTTTGTGTCCACCTACTATGAAAGAGGATTTTGAAATTTGCTTAAAACCTGCATATGTCAATAGCAGAAATGGATGGTTTGCTCTTTCACCACTTGGATGTGTGCCAAAACCAAAGATATCCTCTTTCTCAACTGCATTATCTATCTATGGTCAAGCAACTGAGAGTACTGATCCTGTTCCAAAAACATGCTTCTCTGACACTGTTGCTGTGCAGGTATATAGAATAGCATTTCTTCTTTTAAAGTTTCTCTGTTTACAAACTGAGGGTGCTGCTAAAAGGGCTGAGGAGGTTGGGTTTGTTGATCTTGCACATTTTCCTGAGCTTCCGATGCCAGAAATCTTGCATGGACTGCAGGTAGTGTACACTTCAGAATCACATGCATATAGTGTTCATATTTTGATAATATATCCAAATATCAAAAGTCAATGGTTTGGTTATGCGAGTGTGCTTAAGCATTGCTCTACACTGAAAATTAATTGCTATGGGGTGACTGAATCCAAGAAGCAAATACTTGGATGTCTGTATGAGCTTTTATTCTTTTGGGTGCAGGATCAAGCGATTGCCATTATTACGGAGCTCTGTCAAGCCAACAAATTGAGGGTCTCCCCAGAAACACAGAATGTTTGCCACTTATTATTGCAAATACTTGAAATGGCCTTGCACTTGGAACTTTGTGTTCTACAAATTTGTGGCATAAGACCTGTATTAGGGCGGGTGGAGGATTTTTCTAAGGAAGCCAAATCTTTATTTAGTGGTAATAATATTCTTCATCCTTCTGTAGCACCGTGTTTGATTCTATTGCCGTTGTTTTCTTTTTTCCCCCAATATTTCTGTCTTCTGAAAAAGTGTTAAATATTTTTTGATGCCTTGTGCAGCATTGGAGGGTCATGCTTTGCTAAAAGCATCCAGCAAGTCTCTAAAACAAATGATATCATGTGTCTATCCTGGATTGCTGGAAGCAGAGAATTTCATATAAGATCTGGCGTAGACAAAAAAGCACAATATTAATTGTACAGAATTTTATAGTGACAATTAGTCAGCTTTCTTCCTCCACTCTATGTTGCTAGATATTTCTTCTGTTGATATAATTGTGGATTTTTTCCTGACCGTTCTTGATGCTTCTTCGTATTTATATCTATCTTTTTTAGGAGAAAAGGTTGTCACCACTCATCAGCGAGCGGATAATTCATGGGTAGTATGTTGCATAGTTGTCGGTGGAAAATGAATTCTTTCAGGAGGGCCCTGCTCCGTGCCACGGTGAGTCGGTGACAGTGATTATGACCTACGTGTCTTGGTTCCCCTTGAGCATGACCTAATTCAAAAGGTAGATAAGTTTGACCCAATTTGTAAAGGAGGTCAAATACTTGATTTTAACCATAGTTCAAAATTAGTGGTCAAAGGACTTTCATGCAAGTGGAATCGTACTTAACTAGCCATTTGGCAAAACCTATAGGTCTATTGTTGTTATTTAAGAGTTGTGTAAAATAGAGTATATCAGATTAATTTCTGTAAGTTTGGCTACTGAACCGACATGGTAGGTGCAGTCGTTACTTAAAAAGTTAAAACGGTGATTACCCCTTCATTCATTCGTTCGGTATTGCCAGGCCCGAGGGATTCCTCTTCTACTGCAGGATTTCATTATCAACCAATGTAAATAAAATGAATAATATATAGGTTTAATTATTTAAATATGGGATTTGAAAAAATAAAATAAAATAATATATATATATATATATATATATATATATATACACACACTAATATGGTATTTTTTGAAAAAATTATGAAAATGAGGTTAAAAAATCGCCATTTTGTGTCGGTAAGATAGATTAATTTTAAAATTGTCATCGGTGATTTTAAAAAATTTATTAAAAGTTTAGAAAAGTTAAAAATCTGACAATTTTTCAAAAATTAATAAAATAATTTTAAAAATGAAAAATTAGTGGCATTTTTTAAAAATAATAAATTTTTTTAAAGTATCCAAAAAATGTCGGATAATTTTGTCAGTGATTTTTAAAAAGTTTATATTTTGGTAAATTTTTTCTTTCTTTTTCATATTAAAAAAAGACCCTATTATATAGAGCTGTCGCAAATTTTAAAATTAAATAATAGTTTAGTCTCAAAAAATGTTTAAAATGTTATTTAAGTCCAAATTTTATTTTATTTTTAGCAAATTAGGTGCTTTTAACTTTAATTTTGTATCAATAACTTTTTTTAATGTTTTTGCTGTTACATTTAATCCCTAAAAGACTTACTGTTTAACCAACGTTGTCTTAATATTAAATCATAATCACATATTAATACCTGTCTAGTCATTTTAATTTTAAATAACAAAGAACCAAAAAGATCTTGGGAATAAACATTTAGATTTTTTTTCCTGTCAGATTAATTCCTAAGAGTTAATTATTTATATAAATATTTACAAATTATTAAATTTTAAATGTATGTTAATAACTATAATTAAAGTATTAAATATTTTAATTATTTTTTATGATAATTATATTTTATTTGTGTAAAGATATCTTATATTTAATAAATAAAATCATGATAAATACATAAAATTGATAACAAAAAATAATACTCAAAATTTATTGAATCAACTAAAAAAAATTACTATATTTAAAAAATAAATATATAGTTATTATAAAAATTATAGATAAAAATTGTTATATTATAAAATTCAAGTATGCAGAAAAATAACATATGAATATAGTAAGAATTAATAAAAATTTATATTTAAATTAAATAACTTATATTTCTAAACTTTTATCTTAATAAAAAAATATGTAATAAAACTTAATATATATATATATATATATATATATATATATATAATGACAATTATAATAACTATTAAATTAAAAAAATAATTAAAAAATATTTAATTTTATTTATTTTATTAATTTTTATTTTAAATTAACAAATATACGTAAAATTAACTATATTATAACATCAATACAATATAGAAAATATTATTGATATAATACATTAAAACATATATATATATATATATATATATATATATATATTATAAATTGATAAATTAATTAATAATTTAATTTTTTTATTTATACTTTTTTTGTAAATATTTATTAAATATTAAATTTTGAATGTATATTAACAACTATATTTTTAAAGAAAAATTTATTTACATTTATGTCAAATTCGTAAAAAATAATTATTTAAAATTTAACATATTTATATTATTTACTATATGATCCTATTATATATATATATATATATATATATATATGAAATTTTTATTTTATTTTTTTATCATTTTTTTTATAAAATTTTAGTTTCGAAGAAAATATAATTCATATTTAAAGAATTTTTATTTATTATAAAGAAAATAATTAAATATAATATATTAATATAATAATTAAATAGTAATAATAATAAAATTAAGAATATAAAAAATATATTAATATAATATTATTATTATTTTTTTAATTTTATTTTATTCAGTTTTGATAGCGTCTTGTTCCTGTTCAAAGATTTAACCACTCTTTAACTTATTTAAATGTAATAAATATGATAATTTATTGTTAAATAAATTTATTATTTAAAAAGTGTAATTGTGTATAAATATTTTTAATTTTTAATAGAATATAACTTCTATTTATAATAATTATAACTAAAAAGAATTATAACATAGTATATTAATTTAATATAACAAAATTAAAAATATATTATTAAATAACTTTATTATTCAAACATATTTTGACAGCTGCATTTTTAAATTTTATACATATATATATATATATATATATATATATATATATATATATATATACAGGTCTGCCTATCAAGCTTAATAGATTTTAAAAACAGTTCAGGTCTGATTTATTCATTTAAACAAGCATTAAAAAGTCTAAGTATTGTTTGTTTATTAAAAAGATCAAGCTAAGTCAGGCCTAAATCAGGCCAGGTTGCAAGCCCCTGTCAAACGACCTGACCTGTTTTCATCTCTACTTCCTCGTAGTTGTTCTTCTGCCCATAAATGTGTTTCTAGTTCATGAATGAGTTCCCATTCTTTATTGGAGTTTCTGCTATTGGGTAAGAGAGGTATTTGTTCAATAATTGTTTGAACTTAACGTTGTGGTCATTGTTTGTTGTTTGTGTTACAAATTGAATTCTGTTCATTATTATTTTTATTCAATAAATTAACAATTTTATTAACCTATACATATAAAAATATTATTATAAAATATTTAATATTGTTGATACATTAAATTTTGTGATTTTTAAAAAATTTATATAATAAATTTATTGTGTTTAAATATTTTTAAAATTAATACATTAATATAATAACTTGTCTCATTAATTCTTATATTTTATTTTAAATATATAAAATAGTATTTTATTTTATTTTGAAAATATTTTTTATATTAAAAATATAACAACCGTGTTTTACTTTTAATGTTTTATGTTAATTGATAATATAGCTGTTTGAATAAAAAAAATATTACACAGGAATTGAAATTTAATAAGATCAATGATCAAGTTTATTAATCATTAAAGAGATAGAAGCAAGTTTGAAATTTAATAATTAATTGGCGTGAATTTATTTTTTTAAATGATTTTTAAGAAACAAAAAATGTGCAACTCATTAATATTTATATCTATATAAAATTGACTATAATTATTTATTGCTACATATATTTATAACAAAATTTATTATTATTAAACTTTAAAATACTTAAAGTTACTTATAACATTAGTAACTAGAACTACTTATTCCTTTATATATTTATAAATATTAGAATAATTTGAATTAGTTATATTATTAGTGATATGAATGTTATATTATTAAAAAAAAATATTAATTCTTACTTATTTATTATTGTATATATTTATAACAAAAATTATAATTATTAAGATTTAAAATATTTAAATTCATTTACATAGTTAATAATACAGATAGTCAAAATAAATGTTGGTAGATGTTGTAAATAAAAATAACATATTAACTGTGAGTTATATTTAATATTATTTATTAAAATTAATTATAATATTTTATATAACTTAAAAATTAAAATTATTATTGATTCATAATTATTATCCTTAAATTGTGTTTAAAGAAAGTTTATTAAAATTGACTATATATAAAAATTTTATATAGATATATATACAATTTAAAAAAAGATAATAATAAATTTTCTATGAGTGATATTTAATAAAAATTATTTAAATTTATTAAATATTAAAAAATAAATAAAATTCATTATAAAATATTAAAAATAGAAAATAAATATTAATTAAATAACATAAAAAAATTTACAAAAATCAAGTGAAGTTCTCAAATAATATGTTAAAAAAAATAAAATTATATCTTTATTTCAAATCATATTCAAATATGTATTGATTTAAATTATTGTATTATATCTATGATAAAAAGATAAATAAATTATAATATAAATAAAAAATATTTTTATTATACATAATTTTCAAAAACTTTCTAAAATTTCTTTCTATCATTTTACTTTATTTTGGTATTTTATATTTATGTTAATTGTCAAGAGTTACCTATCTAAAGTGAGAGAGAATATATATTGTTTATATTGATATTTTTTATTTTATTTTTACTAAATTATATTCATTATTTTATTTTAATTTATTGAGCTTTACAACCTTTTTTTTAAAGGACACATGATATGCTAATATAATTTTTTTTTCATGTGTAAAAATTTCGTGCTTTGTGAGGATTCAAAACTTATTTCACAATCATCGGCCAAACAAATAAAAAAGAAAACTCATTACTTCAATAAAAAAATAGGACTTCAAGGCATCATCACAACATCCAAGTATATACATACATAATAATTCTATAATATTATTTACATAAAGGTTGCTCAATATAGAATTCAAAATACATATTTCTTGTCTCAAAATTTTTGGCTAAGTAGTATAAACTACAACTGTTCAAAAAGGCATGTTAAACTCTAAATATCCTTAGCTAGACTGTCCAATATGGGGAGTAGATGCATCACTTGTCACTTCTGCTTACGTACCACCGTAAGGTCATTGCTATACACATACCAACACAACAAAAATGTAAGGGTGAACTTATATAAATAACAATCGTAATTATAAGGTATGAAAATATTAAAATTATTTTTACAACTCATATAATTCATAGCAATCAGCACAACAATCTCAATCAATTGATGCGGCATGTTCAGTCTTTTCCCCATCCCATGCAGCGATTCAATTCTAGCTGATTTCATAGTCTAAGTAATTTAGAAGAAATGCTTCCGATCTGGGAGTGACTCATCCTAGTATCTGAATCCAGACACAATATAGCTCAGCATTTCTATCGTTACATGTCTAACCAGCTAAACATGTAATTCGACTCTAAAATAATAATAATAATCATGATGCAACACAGCCATATGCATTCTCAGCCTCAGCAATACAACCATATACACTTATATTCCCAGTTTCACCAATGCAGCCATATTCTTACATTACAGCCAAGCAGCTCACAACAAAAAAAATCAAGTATTTCAACATACATCAAAGATTCTCAGCACACATGTCACGACCTCTCATCATGTTATGTTATTGATCAATTGG